GGAGGGAGACTGAGAGGGAGACCACAGGGAGACTGAGGGAGGAAGACTGAGAGGGAGATTAAGAAGAAGGTCCTTTATTCGTCCCACAATGGGGAAATTTCAGTTTGATGCACACACATTTACATATATATTTACATACACACATCAAGGCAAGTAGCGAACATCACTTCCGTGCTCCTTATAGGCAAAGTGGGTGAAGTGTCTTGCCCAAGGACACAACAACAGCAGACATCAGTGGAGTTGGTGGAGAATATCTCAAGGTGAGCTCAAACCCACGACCTTTGGGCTCAAAGGCCGATGCTCTACAACTGATCCACTGTCGACCAGAGAGACTGACAAAGTGAGACAGAGAGAATGAGAGACATGAGGTCCTTGGGCTAAAATGTATATATAAATATTTCACTTTGGAGAGACCCAAGAGGGAAAATGCAGTTAGAAGTTTGTTGATTGAGCATGTTTGGCGCCCTAGGCCCGGGAGAGATGCTGTTGAGTGCGGCGCTTGATCGCGCGCATAATCCCCCCCGGGGCCTAGGCACTGGTGGCGGCAGAGGCAGTAGGCAAGCACGCTTCGATGAGAGAAGGAGGAGGTGGGGCGGCGGAGGCTTTGCAAACTTCAGAAGGCCGGGAAGTGGGTGTCTCCGGCTTTTAACTTGCTGTCCTGGTGGTTATTGGTGGATTAGATGTGGGCGTTTTGCTGGTGTAATGAGTAGAGGATGAGCAGCTTGTAGATCTGGCGGCAGCGGCCGGGTCTACCACAGTGAACTTTCGCGAAGAGCTCCATTTCACTTTGGAGAGACCCAAGAGGGAAAATGCAGTTAGAAGTTTGTTGATTGAGTATGTTTGGCGCCCTAGGCCCGGGAGAGATGCTGATGAGTGCGGCGCTTGCTCGCGTGCATAATCCCCAAAAACGGGCAGAGTTATCTTTGCGCGCCAGGACGTGAGCGCTCGCTTCACGATCAACCGGACGCTGCAGCTAGTTATCTTTGAGCGCTGGGACGTGAGCGCTCGCATCACGATCGAACCAGACGCTGTAGCAGAGTTATCTTTAAGCGCCGGGACGTGAGCGCTCGCATCACGATCAACCGGACGCTGCCTGGGACGTGAGCGCTCGCATCACGATCAATACCAGACGCTGTAGCAGAGTTATCTTTGAGCGCCGGGACGTGAGCGCTCGCATCACGATCAACCGGACGCTGTCTGGGACGTGAGCGCTCGCATCACGATCGGTACCAGACGCTGCAGCAGAGTTATTTTTTAAAAGTGCGTGCCGCCACCAGAATCCTATTGCTTCACTTACTTTGCTTCGTATTGCTTTGCTGGGAGCTTACGAGGAAGCCAGTAGCCGTTGTGCAGCCAAGATGGCGGACGCGTCTGGCCTGATGTAGGCGGAGAAGGCCGAAGAGGACCAGCGCCCCAGCTGTTGCAGAGAGGTGTGGGGGAGCCCCAGCGAGGCCGCGCGCGTGGCAGCGCCTATCCTGAAAGAGTGAGCTGTGTAGAGCTGGGGAGATAATTTACAGAGGAGCAGTAGGGATCTTAGTTGAGCTCTGAACCAGGTTGCTGACATGGGAAGAATGTCTGGAGTGAGAAAGAGAGGTCCGTTAAAATCTCCTTTTTGCAGCGAAGGCGAGTGTAACGCATCAAGGATTTGTAGGGGCAGAGAGATGTGTCCGAGCGAGCTATTACTATATTGCAGGCTCCTTTGATTTTTGAATGTTTGAGACGGAGGTTGAAATGGTCAGGGGACATTATGTTGGGTGAAAAAGAGCGACCTTTGTGTAATGCTTCCACTACGTCGAGATTATCACACATGACAGAGATCCTCTTTCTCTGCCACGTGTGATTCCACAGCGCGCAGGCCACGACCACTGGGAATATCTCGTGTAGGGCAGAGGAGATGCTCCGGTGGAAAGTAGCGGCCACGCTCGGCAAACCAATGGTCCTGGAAGAACCCCCAAAACCCACGGAAGGGGCAGCGTCCGTGTAGAAGCGGAGACCTGTAGGGGCAGAGACATATCGGAGAGGGCCATTGATGTTGCAGGCGCCCTTACGCTTAGAACCTTGGGTTGGAGAGTAGATAATCAGGATAGTAGGATGGTCGGGAAAGCCGTGTCTCGGACCGCATGAAGGTTGAGTGAGCAATGGTGAAACGCTTATGCAGAGAAGCCATAGAAGGCGAGCAGGAAGATGCTGCGAGGAGGGCAGACATGTACTTGGAAGATGAGCCGGAGTTCAGCGCCGCTGCAGGATGGGCAGCATGATGGGGAGCCTGCGATCAGAAGAGTGAAGAATACAGGTATGGATGCCTTTGATTAGGAGTCCGATTGACGGCTCAGCGCAGCTACTCGGCCGGCTGCATCTGATAGAATCAGAAGATTAAGTAGAGAGATGAAGCATGACCGCCGAAGCGACCCTGGGAGCATAGGTGCGAGTCCAGCGCAGCGCGGCATACTCAGCCGGGCTGCATCCATTAGAAGCAGGAAAGCTTCTGAGAAAGTGGGTTGCAGCAGTAGCAGTAGCGGCAGCAGCAGCAACCTCAGATAATAACGGCAATAATCCTGTATCAAGCCGCGGCAGCAGCAGTAGCAGCAGCAGCATCCTTAGAAAATAACAGTAATAGTTCTGTATCAAAGCCACAGCAGTAGAATGTTGTTGTAGCTGTTCAGTGTTTCAGTAAAAGAGATGCAAGTGAAGAGAGATGGCAAGGTAAATGAAGCAGCAGCAGCAGTAGTAGCAGCAGTATGCAGCAGCAGCAGCAGCAGTAGCAGCAGTATGCAGCAGCAGTAGCAGTATGAAGCAGCAGCAGCTGCAGCATCCGTAGATAATAACAGCAATAATCCTGTATCAAAGCCAGAGCAGTAGAATATTGTTTTAGCTGTTTAGTGTTTCAGTAAAAGAGATGCGAAGTGAAGAGAGATGTCAAAGTACATGAAGCAGCAGCAGCACGGCAGCAGATGCAGTATGAAGCAGCAGCGGCAGCAGTAGCAGCAGTAGCGGTAGCAGTATGAAGCAGCAGAAGCAGCATTAGCAGGAGCAGCAGCACCACAATGCGATTCATACGAACAAACAGACGTGTCACGCCAGCGTGCGCCGCTCGTCTCCGTGAGCCAAAATTCAATACATTAATTTAACAGTAGTGACCTGCGAGTAATGAGATTAATGCTGTAAAGATGGCGCCGTGGCAAGAGCTCTGGTGTGTGCCGTCTGGAGCACAATGGGGTAGTCTTGCAAATTTTTTCCAACGTGGTTTTACTGCAAGTGGCAGAACATGAATCTGAATTAATGCACATTGCTCGTCTTATATCCCTCAGACAATAGAGATTGATGCCATTTAATATGCATTGCCCCTCAGTTAGCTCAAACACATGTGAAAACGAAGCCTGCAGACCAAGCACGGGGCGAAACTGACGCCTGCAGTCCAGTGCGCGGGGCAAAAACCAACCGCCTGCAGCCTAGACTCCGGGATTAATCCGTCCGCGGTCGGCACACTCACTGTACTCACATGCCAGGAGACTTGGGAAAAGCAACGGGACAACGCGGCACCGCCAATCGGAGGCAGGGACACGCACGGCACCGCCAGACCGTCTGCGCGCAGCAGCAGACCACGAGGAACGAGCAGCACAGAACCCGCGGAGGGGCCCCGCGGAGCAGCCCGCAGAAAGAGCCCGCAGAGGAGAGCAGTGGAGACGCACGAACCACAGCAGGTGCAGGGACGTGGAGGAGGAGCAGACCACAAGCAGCCAGACTGAGGACAGCCAGACTGAGGACAGCCGGGCCACGCGCACGAGCAACACGTGAGCAGAAGCGACCCCTCCAGAACAACGCATGCATTTGCGAACAGGTGCGTTAGCGACATGCACCCTGCAGACTTCAGAAGCTTGCAGACTTCAGAAGGCCGGGAAGTGGGCGTCTCCGGCTTTTAACTTGCTGTCCTGGTGGTTATTGGTGGATTAGATGTGGGCGTTTTGCTGGTGTAATGAGTAGAGGATGAGCAGGCTTGTAGATCTGGCAGCAGCGGCCGGGTCTACCACAGTGAATTTTCGCGAAGAGCTCAATTTTTCACATGGCATACCCCAAATGCATTGCATCCTTGTTGCTAGTCCTGCAAACAGAGGTACTTCAAGATCCCATCACGGACAATGATGCAACCCCTGCCTATAAAAAGGTGATGACAGAGTTTGCAGCTTTTGTTGGGTAGGACATGGGTTAAAGCAAAAAAAAATCATCTGACTGAAATTTTTTCCGAGTATACATTTTCACAAAACGTGGTGCAGCACGGGGCACAGTGTTTTCCTGTTACACAATGCACAGTAAATGTACTATGGTACAGTTTGACTAAAGTAGAAAATTCCAAACACCCAAAATGAAACATTGTGAAACATGAGCAGTAAGAAGGGGATGACATTATGTGGGGGGGCTGGGGGTCCCCCCGAGAATTTTTTAGTGTATTCTGAGGAATTTTAATGGGTATAAAGCCCTCTGGAGCAAGTACAACTCATGATACTACAATCTGTATTTGTTGGTATAAAACAATTAAAGAACACTCTCTTCATAAAGTAAAAAAAAACAGCATTTATTTTAATTTTAGAATTAGGAAACCTATTAAACAACAGATAGAGAACACCAACAGAAGTAATAAGATAACAAAGTACATTTTAGGCAAATGTTTCTATCATACTTTTACTTTTTTTGCTTTTTAACACTAAAGCCAAAAGCTTCAAGCACGTTCACCCTAGATGCACGCTTCTGTTTTTTTCCAGAGGTGCATGCTAGCTGAGTAGAATTGGAGGCACTGGTGAGATGAGCTGAACAAGATGGAGAGGTGAAGGCGCTGGCTGGAGCACTCTGCAAAAAATAAAATAATCTTAAGTAATATATATATATATATTAAGCAAAATAAAATTGTATCCCGTTTTTAAATGCAAAAAACAAAAAATATAGGTAATCAGGTATTCTAATTTCAAGACAATTAACTAACATTTTGCAGTGCAGTGGAGCTATAGGTGGAGGCTCTAGTTGGAGCTGTGGAGCCACAGGTGGAGGCTCTGGTTGGAGCTGTGGAGCCAGTGGAGGAGGTTCTGGCTGGAGCTGAGGAGCTACAGATTGAAGTTCTAGTTGGAGCAGTGGAGCCAGTGGTGGAGGCTCTGGCTGGAGCTGTGGAGCTACAGGTGGAGGCTCTAGTTGGAGCTGTGGAGCTACAAGTGGAGGCTCTGGTTGGAGCTGTGGAGCTACAAGTGGAGGCTCTGGTTGGAGCTGTGGAGCCAGTAGTCGAGGTTTTGGCTGGAGCTGTGGAGCTACAGGTGGAGGCTCTGGCTGGAGCTGTGGAAGAAGCTTTAGTTACTTTTCTAACCCTAATAGCTGAGAGAACCTTCATAGCTTGTCTAAGTTTCAGCTCCTTTTGTTTCTTCTGTTTATCTGTTGTTTGCTTTAGATGTGTTTTATATCTGGAGAAAGAAGAGAGACACATTCTTCTCATTCCGGCACTCATGTCATTGTGAAGGGAGGTTTTTCCTGAGGACTTTATGTTGGACTTGATAATGGCTAAAGCCTCATAGGTTTCAATATTCAACATCACTCTGTCCTTTTCAATTATGTCATCCATAATGTTGAATGTGCCTTCAACAAGAGGGCCTGAAAACAGAGACAGGAGAGCCTTCACCAATTTCCCCATTATGGGAAATCTTACTTTCCCAGGCAGTGTCTTCTTGGAAAGAATGGGATTCCACCAGTCCACATCAATCCGATCGGTTTCCTCCACAAAATGTTGGGCCTTCTGTAACAAATCGGGATCAATCTGGTACGCCCGTACCTCTTCCGCCAGCTGACCGAGACTAACTGGCTCCAACACATTGGGCAAGGCCTGGGCTAAGGCAATGAAGGCATCCAGGATGGAGTCTTGGGAAATGAGTGATGGTGTTAGTGCAGACAATGACACAATTACTTTGTTGTTGAGGGGCAGGTTTTTAAAAAGAAATGCTGCTGCCTTGATGTAGCCCGTTCTAAGAGATGTATAGATTTGAGGAACCCAATGCTTTTTATCAATCCTTGCCTTATTTAAGGCATACAGGCAGAATCTCCCCACACACAGCTTTTTGTCAGGGTAGTGCAGAGCCCTGTATGTGATATCCACTCTCAGCAAGTCCTTGACAGCCACAGGAATGGAGGATGGCTTCATGAACTTGGAGAGAAGCTCCCTGACAAGCACCACCATCTCTGCATGAAGAACATGCATGAGTGGCTTCTCATGCTGCAGCCTTTTAATGAAACCCTGGAATGTTGGCAGCACTCCTGAAAATACACCAGAACACAAACAAACCAAATAATGATTATTCATTACTGTTACATCCTCTCACTTGTATTTGTGTATTTTGCCTAAATAATCTTTATATGAACACATTTTGTTATGTTGATGCATTTACAAAGAGGCAAAATGCAAATTACAAAGACTACACCTATTTAGGCAATATAATGTTCTCTAATCCCATCTAATACCAACAATCTGTCTGTGTTGCGATCTATTTAGTATGAACCTGCTAACCATGTAGTTTAGAGCTCTACAAATGATTTGAAATGCCTGGGATTCTTAAATTAGCTTAACAATTTATAAATTATATTCACAGCATCTCTCAAATATTTGTTAGTTTGAATAGGAAGGAGACAAGTAGCAACAACATATTTTACCAAAAATGTGCCGCCCTATGGTGTAAAAAATAATAATAGAACTACTATATCTACCCGTAAATGCTCTAATACTGGCCTGTATTCCATCACTGGTCTCTCTGCTGGGAGGCAAATAAAAACCAGTCTCTAAAACAGGCCGGGGCTATTAGAAACCAGCAGTTATAAATGTCTAGTTGTAGCAACATGCAAGTAACACAAGAGCAGTGCAGAACATATCTGTCTTTGAGCTTAATGTCTCTGTGCACTGTCCCTTCAATAAAGACTAAACTAAACTAACTAACTAACTAACTGTCTGCTAACGAATCCAAGCCTTGGCTACAATGGCCTGATCATGTCTCTTGACTCTCGCATGTGGTTATACTTTGGAGGTAATATGTCTAAACCAGTCCCGTAAGTTGCCTTTTGTTAAGTATCAATAGCAGTAGCCTAATTATCCCTGTGTATTGTGTTTGCAATGTTAATTAATAAATTAACCTAATACTTTAGATTCAAATGGACACAAATCTTGTTTTTCTTTCTGCTGGTGTCCGTTTTGCTCAAATAGAAATAAAGGCCTGTCTCTAATTTTGGCCTGGTTCCAATAAAGGCCTGGTCCTCAATACACTGGAGTAAATAAAGGCCCGGGCCTATATTAGAGCATTTACGATATATTTTTTAGATGCTGTACCTCTGTATAAGTTGACCAAAGTGGTGAGCTTTTCATGTTCCCAAAAGAGAACAGAGATGCTCTCTTTACGCCTCTTGTTCTCGGTGGTGGCACAAGCCGATCTGCTAATATCCTGCTGTACAACGCTGATTCTGGCCCTCTCCTCCGGTGAAATGTGGTGCTTCTTCAGGATTTGGTTAAGAAGACCTCTGCAAATAAATTAAAAATCATATATATATATTTTTTTTTTTTAAACTGAACCAAATAAATAGAGTGCGATAATCTAAATAAATTATTGTCCAATTCTAAAAAAACAAATGTAGCATGGTTAAAATAGAAGTCATGCAGTTTTAAATAAATAAAAGGGGCATAAAGCCAACTAACTGTATTCAATCAGTTTAAGAGATAAAGCATGAAGCTGAAATAGACTTCCAGACTTTTTGGGAGGCTTGTATACACTTGTGGCAGGAGCATGTAAAATAAATTATAATGAAGCAGCAAGCTGATATTTTACCTGTATTTGGTCTTATCTGCTGGCGACAGGATGCTGTAATAATGGACAGTTAACGGATCAAGAAGCTCCTGCAATCTGTTGCAGACATCCAACATCTGCAGGAACCTGGTGTTGATAGGGCGCATCAGAGACTTGGGCTCCAAATGAAGGAGGGACTGAATCTCAGAAAAAAGTTCCTTTTGTTTGGGGAATTTTTCAATGTCACAGTAGACACGCCTGCAAAAGTCCTCCACATAGCCCCCAAATGGAGTGAAAAGGGCCTTAGCTGCGTTTGATGCCATGTGCACTGTGTCACCACTGATGTCAAGGAGAGCAGGATTTTCTTTTCGGATCAGTGTTTCGACTCCAGATTTTTTTCCTCTCATTACATTACAATTGTCTAGCAGTACTGAAACAGCATGGTCCCACCTCAAGCTGTATGTGTCAAGAATGTCAGACAAAATATTTGTAAGTGTTTTTGAGTCTGCTACATTGGCCTTTCTTGAGGCGAGATGAAGGGTTAAAACTTTACCACTTTCTTCATCAAAATACCTGATGAGGACATTGAGGATTCGATCCACATTAGCATTTGTAGCCTCATCAATATTCAATGAGAAATGGATTCCCTGCAGTTTGGTTGATAGTTCAGATTTGTAGTGCGCAGCCATGCCATGTGTGCAAAGGTAAGAGGCGTGGGAATTGGATATGGACAGTCTTGAGAGTGCGCTCCTATCAATTGCGCACACTTTGATTAGCTCCACAAGAGGCTGTGACATGGTGAACGAAAGATCATGTTCGGCAATGAAAGCGCACACCCGCACTTTCAGGTCGCAGACCCGGTCAGACATTGACGCCCGTGCGTTTGTTGTTGTCGCTGAGGCACCGGGCAGGCATGAGGTATGTTGCAGAGATCGCACTGCAGCCTTATGAACCGCATCTGACTGATGGCGTGTCAGGACTTTTTTGCCATTACTGCCATACATAATCTTCTTATGGCAAACTACGCACATGCACGCACCTGGCTGTTTAAGTTTTTTGCACCACGATCGATGGGGCAAGCCATTGTCCCCGTTCTCATTTAGCCATGCCCATCTCCACCTATTTTTGACACCTCTGTCGATATTACCCACTTCTGCACCTTCCTCAATAAACAACGCGTCCATCATTATGCCGCGTAATAATGTTAGCTAGGTCAATTTTAGCATCTGCCGTCCCCTCCCACCTGTCAATTTTAGGCGTTTATTGGAAGATCATGTCACGTTACTATCAAGACGTTCATAGACCTATAGCATAATTGAAAGCATTAATAAAATAAACGCATCAATTGTTTTGCACACAAAGCTACGTTATGGCCAACGAATGTATCAGTTTAAGCATTTTTGCTTTGCGTAACTTTTCAAACCACCCATTCTCGCAGGACACCCATTAATTGTGTATTTATTTTCATCTCAATTAACATCACAAAAACACAAATAAACGGTGTCACCGTACCTGCTCCACATCCTGCAGCCCGGTCTGTGTTACCACGAAGAAAGGAGCAAAGCGGGCGCGAGTTCTCCTTGGCCCCGTGTTCACAGCTGTGTGAAGCTGGCCCCCCATGAAACGTATTATTAAAAATCAAAAGCCAATCGTTTCAGCATGATGAGGGGCCAGGTTCACGGGGGTCGTGTTCACATGCAGGCAGCATTTTCTTTTTCTTTTTTCAAAACAATTCATCGACGGATTTTTTTCTCTGACTTTAGCAATCGACGGAATTCCGTCGGGTAGACGGAGAACTTTAATCCATGGGGTAGGACACTCGCTTTTACAAGTATGTTCTGAAATGCATTTGGTTATTGCATTTTCTTGTTTTGGAAGAGCATTCTTTACACTCTCATTTTTTGTTAAAAGAACTGGAGGAATATTGTTTAAGAGAGGTGTGCATTTTGCAATTATTTGGCATTTCAAACTCATCTTAATCACCATCTTATGCTTTGTTGGTTAGAAAACCCTATTAAGAAACATACTGTCAATGTTGTGCAATGGGTTTAATTTTTTTTTTGATTAATAAAAAGGCTATTACACTGCAATCTCCTTTTGTAAATGTATTGTTGATGATTAAAGCAAGACTATCTTAAACCTAGTATCTCTATCTATGCAAGAATTATAAGCTTATTTTAAGATCTGTGGTGCACTAGAAATGAGCAAATTTTGGTCTCTGCCTAAATCCTAACAAGCAATATTTACTTAAATCAAGAATAGATTTGCTCAAAATAAGATATAAAATCTTAAAATAAATACTTAAAACTAGTGTATAAAGCTTAAAACAATATTTTCAGCATTTTGAACTTTTTTCTTGTTAAGTGCAAATGTCTTACTGCACTGGCAGATAATTTCACTTGAAATAAGACTTTTTTACCCCAAAACAAGATACATTTTCTTATTTTAAGAAAGGGCTTTTTTGTAGTGCATTTGTATGCATTTACCTTCATGACAATTATTTGAGTTCATTGAAGATGTTTCTATAATTTCAGATCCATTCTCCATCACGGGTAAACGTGAAAGTATTGGGCATGGTCAAACGTGGTCAAAACATGCTATTTAGTGATGACGATGAAACAGGAGCTCTGGAGAGAAGACAACGTGAAGGTGCCTTTTGAAATGGAGGCAGAAGTGTCAGAGGATAAAACTGTATCCTACACCTTCAGCCACCCTGTTCCCCAAACGAACTCGGCCATAAGCCCCTCTTAGCTGCCCCCTCCTTCCCAAGCCCCGGCGATTCAAGATGGCGCCCTATTCAAATGAATGGTTGTGCTCAGTGGCGCTTTGTGAAGGCATGGGGGCTGAAAGATTAGCGGAAGTTGCCTGAAACTCGCAAAGATCTATGGGAAAATCGCCTGTATTTGGGCATCGTCTGGTCCTCCCGGTTATGCGCAGTGAGTGACCTCCCAGGATGCTTTGTGCCTCGAACGACGAGAACGCGGACCTCAAGCGGGAGCGTGCAGCACCACAGACTCGTGAACGCGCATGAATCGAGCGAATTAAGTTCTATCACTGTTTAAGTAAAGATTGATATTAAAATATATGTACAATTGATCAATTATTTTAAGATGGTGTAGAGCACTATGACAGAGCCTTCTTGTTGTTGATTCTTAATCATTATCTACTAAGTATTTATGATAAGCTAAATGTACAATGATTATATACTTTTTCGTAACGCTTATACTGTGGCATTCACCTGTCGGCCGCCGTGTTTTAAGCAAAATGTCAGTGATGTGTTAACAAGTACTGCAAGATAATTAAGACCATTGTGGATAGATCAAAAAGCTATGATTTAGTCTTTTGTCCTCGTGAATTGTAATTATTATATTAACGTAATTAATAAGTATTATTCTCTATATACACACACACATTATGTATGTGTGTGTATATATATATATATATGTGTGTGTGTGTTTTCCATGAAAAGTCACACTTGTTCACCACCACACGTTGTGAAATGAATAGAAAATAGAGTCAAGACATTGACAACGTTAGAAATAATGATTTGTATTAGAAATAAGATTTGTTTTACATCCAACTTTGCTTTTGTCAAAGAATCCTCCATTTGCAGCAATTACAACATTGCACCAAAAACCAGACATTTGCAGCTAGAACAGCAGTCATTTACCACATAAGCAGTGTACAGAGTGTATTTCTTTACAGTTAAGACTAGTTTAAAGTTATCTACAGCTTTTCCTTCAACATTGAGGACATTTCAATGTGACCCCAAACTTTTGAACGGTAGAGTATATATTCAGGACTCCCTTGAAAAAGGGGTTCTTTATCTCAATGGGACTTTCCTGGTTAAATAAAACAAAACTAGTTAAGCCACGTATTTGTTTCAGCTGTCTATAATAGGATATTCAAGTATGTATATCTATTTCATTTGCTTAACTCTGGAAATTATGTTACTGTGTATTTATTTATAAGTTATCATATTTATACTTTCAAATTAAATTATAAAAAAAAAGTTGCATTTGTTGTGATTTTTAATCCTACAAAAAAAATGAAAAGCAGTGATTCCATTAAAAATGGCTATATACAAAACACGTAGAACATAATAACAACAGGGATAACCAAAAAAAAAAAAAAAAGATGAAGGTAAAAATATGTGTCATTCACGCACACATTCACCAATCATTCTAAGTGATCCTACCACAAAGGATGAGGCCCTGACTATTTTAAAACTCAAATACACTAACAGAAAAATGCACTGTCACTGTGTTTAAAACAAATAGTTTAGACACAGTGACAGTGATTTTTCAATGCTGTGGCTAAATTGTTTAAGAAAATGTCATTCCCCATATTTGAGAAATGAACTCCGTCCCTAATAAATAGACCAGGGCAGTCAAACTTTATGGTAGGATGACAGACCATGCATCCGCCAAGGCCACTCACAAACGTTTTTAAAACATTATTAATAAAGCGTTTTGCACGATTGATCCGCCCCGGCTGGGCGTCCGTCCACAGGCGGCGATCGGTCAGTTGCGAAAAAAAAATGTCCATCAATGGATACCGCCTGTGGAGGTCCAGAAGGTCCCGCTTCATCGCTGCGACCAAGTCCACGCTCTTCACCTTCCCGAGGTCGTTGCTGCCGCAGCAGATGAGCAGGACAGCCGGGGCAGACCGTCCCCGTAGCAAGTGAAAAAGCCACGGCACCAGGCTGCTCCAGCGGAGTCCTCCGCGGCCAAACCACTGGACGTGGGCCGCCATCCCTAAATTGTGACCAAGGGTCTCGGCTGCCCGGTCGCGACCACGCCGTACGTAACTGTCCCCAATAATCCATATGGTGGGTCCTATTCAAATACACATTAAATTGTGTTCGTTGATAACATTAAATCGGACAATATCAGCATTTTACCTTCAACAATGTGCACAGATGGCATCTGGCTGGTTCGCTGCTGCTGCCCATTCATTGTAACTTGATACTGACAAAATAAATGCATGATTACAAAACGCTTTTGCATAAATGAAATACGAATAATTATTCACACTTACCTAGCCCGTTGCCTTGCGTTGACCGTGGTAAAGTCATCCATGGGTAAAGTGCGTTCAAAATTGAGTGATCAGAGTTTTAATAGTGGGGGAGGAGTTTGTACAAAATGTATCAAAACACCTGTAATGGTCTTAGCGGCACTATAAATACTTCACAAACTTTCCCACGGGCCCTTTTGCCTTGTTTGACGGTGACCCGAGTGAACGACGCAAAAATGCCTTCGTGTTCTGCTTTCAACTGCACCAATGGATCTCGTAGTTCGAAGCATCAATTCCAACTTTTCAGGTAAATTAAAATGTAAATTCATTTTTGGTTTAATTAAACGAGCAATATAATAAGCAGCGCGGGGATCTGTTAGCTATGCTAATACCCCTTCATACATCCACTGCGTTCCGTCATGTATTTTATAACTTGTAACTTCAACCTGGTTAAAAAAGACAATAATATATATATTGTATGTCATGGTCAATAAGCAGAGTACTAGCCTGCTAGCTTAGCCTCCTGCTAATATTAATTGGACTAGCTAGATGTCGTCTGAACAACCCATGGATCTATTATATTAACAACCGTTTTACTTTTATTCCTTTCTTGTGTTAATTTGGACATTTATGGTACACAGTAGTTGAGACAGTACATTTGTAGAACTTGTAAATTGCACGTTTGAAGGAATTAGCTGCCACATGGTTTACCTACTTCTTATTATAACTCTTATGCATTACCCATGGATCCATTACAATGTCGTTATTACCCTGTAAACTTTGCACTATATTTATAGATTGATCTGAAATAAAGATATTGGAGCATTTACAGCTAGCTAAGAAACATTGCAGCTACTAATTTAGTACATATTGTGTGCTCTTATTACTGTCCTGTATGTGCGCTTCAACTTTGAATTTTCCCCAATGTGGGACTAATAAAGGATCTCTTATCTTGTCTTTTTCGGCGAAGAGGATAAAATGATGGTAAAAAGCACATTAAATGTATGATTGGAGCTGCAATTTCTCCTTCTTTTAGTTAAAAAAATACTGAAAATCATCTTATTTCTGTTACATAAAATGCACACTTAGTTAATGTGATCATTAACATAGATAAGATCAAGAAAAAAAAACATTTGTTTTCTGCTCTGTCTTCCAGATTTCCTCTGAATGAAAAGAAGAGACTGGCACAATGGGTTGCAAAAGTGAGGCGTAAAGACTGGGTGCCAAGTTCAAACTCCAGGCTGTGTGCTGCTCACTTTGCTGAGGAATGCTTTTTGGTCAAAGGTGGTAAGCAGTCCCTTACTCCATTAGCTATTCCCTCAAAGGTCAGTTTGTATCAGCTCAGAAATCACCCACCATTGCCTTTGCTGCACTCATTACAGGTAAGGATCACACATATGCAAGTAAATTTGAGAACGTTGAGCTGACTGAAGACAAAGTTATTGAGTTTGACCAACACACAAAAAGCTCAATCTTTGATACCAGCAGTGACATGTCCTCAACTCATGAGCCACAACACTCATCCCCCCCTAAAACAGCAGTTGCGTTACATTCTACAAGCCAGGTACATCTGTTGGAAGATGGAAACACCGGAGTGGATGAATTACACATTCAGGACAGCGAGCTAACTCAAGACAGCGACATTGACAAACTCCAGTTCTCTCCCCAGATCACATCTCTAGTACAGTCAGCAATAACCCTGGATCATCAGTATGCGGCCGGAGACATTCAGGAGAGCGAGCTCACTCAAGACAGCGATATTGACAAACTCCAGTTCTCTCCCCAGATTAGACATTTTGTAAAGTCCTCAATAAGTCAGGAACATAATTATAGAATATCAGAATCACCCAAAAGCGCTAAGCGCAAAACGGAGACACAATTGGACCACTGTCGCAAAAGGCTTAGGACGGAAAAACAAAAGACAAAACGATTGAAGAAGACAATTCATTCCCTATCAGCGGTAATTGAAGAGCTCAAAGACAAACGCCTGATTTCTACGGGGTGCTCTGAAATGATGGAGAATTCTTTCAGTAGTGTCACGAAGGAAATTATTACTAGAATGGAAAAAGGTAACAAGTCAAAAGTGTCAGAGGAACTGCAGTGTTTTGCTTTGACTCTACATTTTTACTTAGCCAAGGCATATTCCTATGTGCGTGAGTGTTTCGACCTGGCTTTACCTCATCCAGACACCATCAGGAAATGGTACAGTGAAGTTTCATCTGATCCTGGCTTCACAAAGGCGTCTTTTGTAGCTCTTCAGGCCCATGTACAGAAAAGGCAGCAGTTAGGAAAGGAGACCCTTTGTGCTTTGATGATGGATGAAATGGCAATAAGAAAGCATATAGAATATAGCGCTGGGAGATTTCATGGATATGTTGATCTGGGATGTGGCATCGTGGACGACAGTCTTCCTCCAGCTAGAGACGCTCTCGTCATCATGGTTGTTGCCATAGACGATTCCTGGAAGCTCCCAGTGGCCTATTTCTTTATTGATTCACTCACTGGTGAAGAAAGAGCAAACATCGTGAGTGAATGCCTTTGTCGGCTTCACAATGTTGGGGTACGTATTGTTTCGCTAACATGTGATGGTCCATCATGCCATTTCTCTATGCTCAAAGCCCTAGGAGCAGACTTGGATGTGCTTTCTATGCGGCCCTCCTTTCCACATCCGTCCAGTCAGTCTCCAGTTCATGTACTTTTGGATGTGTGTCACATGGTAAAGCTGCTCAGAAATACACTTGCTGATTGGGGTGTTCTGCAAACATCAACAGGTAAGATTGAGTGAGTGGTATCTTGTTGAGCTGAATAAGCTCCAAGAGAAAGAGGGTCTCAGACTTGGAAACAAGTTGAAGATGGCGCATATAAAGTGGGAAAAACAAAAGATGAAGGTGATGCTGGCCACACAGGTTTTCAGCAGTAGTGTAGCTGATGCTCTTGAATATTGCAACCAACATCTGCAATTGCCTCAGTTCAGAGGTTGTGAGGAGACTGTAGACTTCCTGAGAACCATCGATGCTGCATTTGATGTTCTCAACAGTAGGAATCCCCTTGGAAAGGGATACAAGGCACCCATGAGAACATCAAACAGAGAACAAACTGCAGCAATCCTTGCGAAAGCAGAGTCCACTCTACTTTCTCTCAGAGATGGAAATGGGAAATCAGTGCATGCTGGAAGACGAAAAACATGCATTATTGGCTTAATTGCTAGTGCCCGAAGTGCACAGAACATCTTCCATGACCTAGTGGAAAAGGATGATGCCCAGTGCCGCTATCTACTGACGTATAAGCTCAGTCAGGATCACCTTGAGCTTTTCTTCTCCTCAGTTAGAGCACGTGGTGGATTCAACAACAATCCCACAACCACACAGTTCACTGCAGCCTACAAACGCCTTCTCGTCAGACAGCAGGTGAATACTGGCACAGGAAATTGTCTCCTTCTAGACAACACAGGCATTCTAGGCGTGACTCCTGCGTCAATTAACACCATGCGCAGATTCAACCTGGAGCCCGTTCTGGAAGCCCAGTCTGAGCATGACCACTTACTCTGTCCTGATGTTGATTCCATCTCTGAATACAAAGATGCTGTAATCAACTACATAGCAGGATTTGTCGTCAGGAAGATAAAGGAGAAACATCTTTGCACACCATGCTCTGATGCGTTGACATCTGACAACTCCGTCCATCCCTTTGTTCTCCTGAAGAATAGAGGTGGATTGCAGAAGCCATCTGAGGGAATCATTTCAGTATGTAAAGAAGCAGAGCGGTGTTTCCAACGCATACTGAGATCAACCTCTGGAAAAATTCCTCAAGGCTGTGGGCTGTCTGCAGCTATTGGAAAAGAAGTTCTGAGTTACACCATGGGCAAGAATCTTTTTCCTGGGCTGCACAGTCACATGTTTGACACCACTGTTGAAGAAAATCACATGCATCTTTTGGTGAAAATGGCAACTTCTGTGTACTGCAACATTCGGCTACATCATTTGGCTAAAAGGCAAACAGAGAAAATTACTACTGAAATAGTTAGACACAAATTAACAAAGTTGATTCATTTTCATCACCAGTAATGTATGAATTGTCCACCCATTACGAAAGGTTATGTCCACTGTTTTTATGGGATTAACTTGGAGCTTGCATAAACGAAGCACAAGTTTGATGTAGCAGTGATCATTTCATTTTTCATTTCCACTTTGTGAACCAGCAGTGTATTTCTTTGCAATGTTTCATTGTGACTGTACAGTTGCTTTCACAGACAGATAGAGCGAGCATGAACGGAGCACATGTTAAAAGCGCAGATTAGCATAGATAAAATAAATGCCAACGGATTGGGGTTAAGTTGTGGCTCAAACATTTAGGAAATAAAATAGCTGAAAAACTTGGAGCTTGCATCAACGAAGCACAAGTTTGAAAGTGACATTAGTTGACAGACACTCAAAACACAACGCACGCAACACTTTTCAATTACTTTTCTGTTGTTTGGGTTCATGTTTGGAAGTTTTCATGTTTAATATGTCATTTTAAACCTTTGTTATTTTGTTGTTCATTCCATTTCAATGCCATTTAAAAAAATCCCCCCCCCAAAAAAAAAAAAAGGCAAGGTTCATTAGTTGTCTTCATTTTCAGAACTTTGCAATTCATTTTCTCTGTTGTTTTGTTTCATTGTAAAAAAGCAGTTTGCTTTGTTGTTCATTATCTTTCAATGTAATTTATATTAAACAAAAGAATGCATTGTTCATTAGTTGACATTATGTACTTCATTTTCACTTATTTTTTAAGGTTTGAATACTGTTTGAGCTAGAAATTAATAATTACAATCAGTTTTTATCTCAGCTGCCCAAGGACCCACTTTTCTGTGAAGGTAATGTCATTGTAGTATTCTCTCTAAGTCTTCCTGTTATCAGTAACTAATTTGGCTTTCATTTGTAGTCAGTTCATCACGATTCACCCGTTGTCCCTGTTGTCCCGAGTGGGACATGTATTTTCAGAGAAGCACTGATGGTATCCTGAACACATGATTTTGAAGTCCTGGGCCTGTGCATCATCCTCACACCATCCTGGATGTGCCTAAATGTCTGCTTTACAGTAATGTATTTTACAGATTACTAACAAATTAAAACTAGCTGAAGTATCAAAACTCAAAAATCCATAATAACTTCTCTAATTTCAGAGAAGCAATGAAGTCATTCTCGACGTTTGGTTTCCAGCCTGGACTCATGGATCGCATCACCAGCCTGGACTCATGGACCGCAGGACCAGCCTGGACTCATGGACCGCAGGACCAGCCTGGACTCATGGACCGCAGGACCAGCCTGGACTCATGGACCGCAGGACCAGCCTGGACTCATGGACCGCAGGACCAGCCTGGACTCATGGACCGCAGGACCAGCCTGGACTCATGGACCGCATCACCATTCTTTCTAATCCAGCTGAGCCAAGGTGGAGTACTTTGCAGATTACAGTTATTAGAGTAATTGATGAGCGGCCTGCAGAAGTATCTCACAATTTAATGCAATGTCTGATTTCAGAGAAGCACTGATCCTCAACACCTAATGTTCCGGCCTTGTGGACCAGATGCCTAGTCAAACCCCCTCCCACTTTTCTCTATGGACATCCAATTGAATCAATTGAAGAAGATGACAACGTCTGAGATTGTGTCTTTCATTCAGACAGAAGACATGTTTTATTGTCAATGGTAGAGACAGCACGAACAAAGCACACAAACAAGGGATGTTACGGCAGCAAGTTGTGATATGCTCAGGAGAAACAGAGACCTCCAATCCGCAGCTGCCACAGTGCCAGCAGGGATAGTCAAAACAAGTAGTGGAAAAGTACAGGCTTCTGCTCATTGATAGAATGATGAGTTTAACTTTAACAAAAGTTGCTTCAAAGTGTTATGAAATCTCACACAATGTACCTTTTTGTCAGCTCTTCCTCCAAAAAAGGGACTTGGACCGCATGCCGCTTTGTCAAGAGAATCTGTGTGGGAAAGTTCTCTGCTGTATCCTCTCAGGGGACTCTGTGTCCTTAGAGATGAATGACCTTTGAATATTAGTAATAATAATAATAGTAATGATTATTTGATTTATATTGCACCTTACATTTTCATGGAATCACAAGATACTAGTCAAATATTTGGTGATTATATATTGACATTTGTATTATCATTATTGATAGAATTGTATATTGTTATGAGAGTTTGGATTCTGTGTCTGATTTGTGACAAAGCAAGTAGAAGTTCATCTCCTTGACCTTGTAGAAAGTCAGCTATTATTCATGTTACATGTATAGTGTTTTGCTGTCTTACATTGGTAAAATTATCTATATTTATCTATGACCATTGTGCTAATGTAAACATTCCTAAGTAGAAGTCAAAAACTGTATATCATAAAGGAAGTTAAAACTTAAGTGCAGGATATAAACAGTAACACTTAAAAAAAAAAGCTTAAGTTTCTATGTGTGGCATGTTTGTATGTCCTTAGGAAACTCAGAGAACAAAAGATCATGCAATTCTCCACAGAACACAGTCCTGCCCAGGGAGGTGTGGCTATGGACTGTGGTGAGTGCAGAGACGGATTTAAGTGTTAGTCTTAAAAAAGTTCAAAAAAACTAAATGAAGAAGGTTTTATCCGCTTTACCTGATCTTAATGTTAGATTTTGTTATTTAGTCATTGTTTTTTGTGTTCTTTTTTTCACCAGTACCTGCGACTCCATCATGCGCTTCATTATGTGCCTCTCGTGCTAGGAGAGTGGAAATCCAAGCATGAAGTGGTAGGAGAGGGACCGTCTTACAGTCTTCCTTGAAGCTCTGGATGCGTCCTCCACACAATAAGAGTCCACTAGTTCGGTCCCTGTAGACAACTAGTCGGTTTGTTGTTGTGTCAGGAAAGCACACCCCTTTCTGTGCTGCGAGACAGATGTCTCTGAATGCATCTTCCCTTTCAGTGACAGAGATAACATTTGACTGTGCCGCCTCCCACTTTTCTTTTCCCTGGGTTCCGATGGACATGAACCTTCTTGCAGCTCTCCAAATCCAGGATATTGCTTTCACCAGCTTTGTAAGTGTACTGAAACGGCGTACATCCACTAGGGTCAGGATGTATTCTCCCATGGGTGGTCGACCTACTTGTAACCGCGGCTGTGTCTCTTTGCTTTGGTTACGGGTAAGTGATGCAACAAATGCCTTTTTCTGTATTTCTGCAAGATTCTTTCTTGCTTGGGCCGCAACATCTCTTGCTGACTTGATGGGCCATTCCTCCTGTGGGAGACTAAGGAACAGAGGGCCTGTTTGCCATTCAGAGGCTTCTGTGAGGTCTTTGGGGCTGGCACCTCTTGTAATTATGTCTGCCACATTTGAACGTCCAGGGACCCACTACCAGTCATTGACATTGGTGCTACTTTGGATCTCCCCGACACGATTTGCAAAGAAGGTCTTGTACCCATAACTTTCGCGTTGTATTGCCCCCAAGACTGTTTGGCTGTCGACAAAGTGGTACCATTGCCCTACCTCAATACGGCAGTGCCTTTGGAAGTAGTTCTTGAGACGGGCTGCAAAGACTGCTCCGCACATTTCTGCCTTCACAGGATCTCCTTTATGATCAAGAGGGGTCAGTTTGGCTTTGGCCTCAACGAGTCTCAAGATTACCCCTTGGGGACAGTTCCAGCGTAGATACAGAACAGCACCGTATGCATGATCACTGCCATCAGAAAACGTGATGCCAATTGGCTTCAAACAGTGATTAGCTGGAGTCAGGGGTCTTGGGAAGTGAATGTGGCTTAACTCTGAGTATTCCTCTAGGAGTTTAACTGCCTGTTCCCTGAGGTCGTTTGACAAGGGGGCATCCCATGTGTTCTCTGAGCAGTACCTCACTTCAGATTCAGATTCAGATTCATTTTTATTCGCCATTTGCAGTAACACTACATTGGAATACATTAGTAAAAGTTCCCAGTGTGCACAGGACAAGTACAGACACAAAACAACATTAAAAGACAAAAATAAAACAAATTTTAAAAACAGTAAACAAATGTCACTGTGAAGTTGACCAACTTAAAACAGATCTATACAAGTGCAAAAACATTAAAGTGCTCTATTCAAACTGATAACAGCTCGTGGAAAAAAACTATTAGCATAACGAGATGTCCTGCATCTCAGAGAACAGTATCTTCTGCCAGAGGGAAGAAGCTGGAACAAGGCTTTTCCTGGGTGGCCAGAAGAGTCATTGATAATTCTCAGGGCACTGTTAAAAAGTCTGGATTGATAAAGAGCCTCCAGGACAGGAAGTTCACAGCCTACAGTCCTCTTAGCAGAGCGGAGCACCTTGTTTAGAGCTTTCTTTTCTTTATCTGTGATGTTACCGAACCACACAGACACAGAACCAACAAGTAAACTCTCAATGGTGCAGCGATAAAAGTTCAGCAGAATCTTAGAGAAAAGCCATTATCTTCAACAACTGTTGCCATTTGGACTTCATGAGGCTATTCCCCATTTGAGTTTGTATTTGTTTTGAATTGTTATTGGCTGAAGCATTGGTTCCAAAATATAATGATATGACAGTTTGACAAATACACTGCTCTCAAATTACAAACTTTAGAAAATGTTGGAGCCACTTTAGTATTATTATGTTGCCTAGCTTTATTGGTTTATGTGAATATAATGATGCATAATCCGTGTCATTACTGTGTCAATTACCCCCAGCTTTCTTTTGAAAATCATATGTCACATCTGCAAAACTTCCTTCTTCCACCTACGTAACATTTCTAAACTACGCTCTTCTCTGTCCTGGCTGCAGAGAAGCTTGTCCATGCCTTTGTCTCTTCTAGGTTGGACTACTGCAACTCTCTACTCATCCCTGGCAGGAGCATTCAAAAGCTCTAGTATGTCCAATACAGTGCTGCCTTTCGTGGATGCTGCTCTCCTATGGAATGCTCTTGTGGACCACCTGAGGGCCATGGTGGAAGCTTTTATAAAGGGACTCAAAACCCATCTTTTTATTGAGACGTACATCTAATTTCTTAGTCTCTTTATTTGATTTTATATGTGTTTGTTTTTATGTATTCTGTTGACTTTGTATCGCTTAGATTTGGTGTCAAATGTAAAGTGCATTATAAATAAAATGGTGGGCCATGTTAGAGGTGCATCTGGTTCTGGATGTGATAAACTATAGGATTTTATACTTACAATGATGGCTATGTGTCCACTATTTTGGTAATGCATACATTTGAAAAAGTCTTGTTTGCATCATGGGGATACAGATAGTAGATTGTATTAGAACTTTGAACATTGTCAAGCGCTTTGGGTGGTCTTGTGTAAACACTGGCTATTTAAATAAACATTACTTACATTATAATGAGTACTTATTGATTGTTATTGTCATAGAAAAATAAGTGACTTTATATGACAGGTTTTGTATCTATGTTTTTTGTGTAGTTACAATGTTATTTACAAATCTGTGATTTGATCCAAAGTTAAATCACTAGACTATATGTCAGATTGCAATGCAAATCAGCATCCTTACATGGTAGTGAGTATATTTACATAACATATAGCATGCATCGGTTAAATGCTTATTATCTGATCCGTGGGTTTTGAGCGGTTCCGGCATGCGTGCAACGGTCCTGCCATGGACTTACAGGGAATAATTTTTTTTGCAGCTAGACCGTCATTTATTCTTTGTAGTCCCGCTGCGGACCCGTGGCTGATGCAAGTGAACTCCATTGCGGCCTTGCTGCGTGCATCCCTGGCGAATATCAGTGTGTTGTTGGGATGGTTTGGCATAGTGTTTTTATAACAGCTGCTTTTGGTAGACTATTATGTCGGTCCAGCTATTACTTCCTATTCATTGTGTGTAGTGTGAATTAAGATTATTTTTAAATGAATGTTTAATACAATTTTATCTGTCATATATGTATAATAGATACATTTATGTCTTAAGAATGAATTTAAAACCATTTAATTCACACAAATAGACTTTATTAACCTAAAACTAAAACAATGTATAATAATACAAACGATGAACATAAAGCTATACTATATAAAAAACGAAACCAATGCACTTGGCTTTAATGTTGCTTTCTTTTTTTCCTCCCATGTGTTTCTGTCGTTTCCAAAAAAGCGTCCCTCGATGGCGTCTCTTTTGTTGTTTCATAGTCGACTGATGGCGGCGTCTCTTCTGTTGTTTCATTGCTGACCGATGGCGTCTCTGTTTGTTCGTAGTCTATTGATGGCGTCTCTTTTGTTTTTTCTTTGTCTGCTGCTTCCTCCGGGTTAGCTTTTGTGTTCGGGAGTATGTAATATAAAAAGTCATATATAATGCAACACTATAAATTAGAATTATGTTTATTAATATGAATTGTTTCTTTAATCGCTGTTATAATTCTGTAAAAAGTATTGCATTTACCGTCAAATACTCCCTCGTACTCGTCGAGTAGAGATGATAGTCGTTGGTTTTCTTGCCTCCATTTCCCTTGTTCTGCTTGTAGATGTTTAATTTGGGCTTCATAAGCCTTCGTTTTTGTTAATACAGAGGTCCCAAGTGCGTGTATGTTTTGCGATAACTGAGAGCGTGGAAAGGATTGATCCTGTGCCTGGTACTTCACAAGAAAAGCAATATTAGTTTTTAATGATTAATTCATAGACTTGTCAATAAGATGATGTAATTTAAAGTCTTACAGCCAGTAGTTGTAGTCTATCCCGAAGGTCACGTCCTTTGTCCGTGTACATGAAGGGTAGTTTGCTTGGTGATGTCTCCATTGTCGTTTTTGAGATAGACTGGCACTTAATGGTCATTCTTTGTGCTTTATGTGTTCTATATGTTGTCTCCACCCCTAATCTTTAGGAGAGGAATAGTATTGGAAGAGAGGCTATTGCTACCTGTCTCCCTATCTTTACGCGATCGTAGTTGGCTGGATTCAATAGCGACGCTGGCCTATGGAGTGATTGTATTAGCTCTAAGGATTAACCCTTCATTGACTCGTTGAAATCGTTAATAGGGGCTCAAACTATATTGTTTACTGTGTGTATTGTGTTAATAGTTTCGTTTTTGCTCGTGTGTCTTACCCTAGAGGCAAAATCTATAATTCTTTGCCAAATAATTTTGTGTGTATTATAAGCAGTTTGTTCCCAGACAGCAAGGTGACATTGAACATATATTGATTTCACCTTGGAGAGACCCATGAGGGAAAATGCAGTTAGAAGTTTAGGATTAAGCATGTTTGGCGCCCTAGGCCCGGGAGAGATGCTGTTGAGCGCGGCGCTTGATCGCGCGCATAATCCCCCAAAAAGTGGGCCTGCGATGGGATAGCAGGACGCACTGCGCAGGCCTGAGAGCATGAGTGCAAGGCTTCTCGCACGGTCGCTCAGCCAGGCTGCGTCCGCTGGGCATCTTTGAGCGCTGGGAACGTGAGCGCTCGCATCACGTTCCGTCAGACGCTGCGGCAGCGGAGAGTGTTTGAGAAAAAGTGCGTGCCGCCACCAGAATCGTATTGCTTTGCTGGGAGCTTACGAGGAAGCCAGTAGACGTTGTGCAGCCAGGATAGCGGACGCGTCTGGCCTAATTTAGGCGGAGAAGGCCAAAGAGGACCAGCGCCCCAGCTGTTGCAGAGAGGTGTGGGGGAGCCCCAGCGAGGCCGCGCCTATCCTGAATGAGTGAGCTGTATAGAGCCGGGGAGACAAATTGCAGAGGAGCAGTAGGGATCTTAGTCGAGCTCTGAACCAGGTTGCTGTGATGGGAAGGTTGTCTGGAGTGAGAATTAGAGGTCCGTTAAAATCTCCTTTTTCAGCGGAGGCGAGTGTAACGCATCATGGACCTGTAGGGGCAGAGAGATGTGTCGGAGCAAGCTATTATTATGTTGCAGGCGCCTTGGTCTTTGAATGTTTGAGATAAAGGTTGAATGGGTCAGGGGACATTATGTTGGGTGAAAAGAGCGACCTTTGTTTAATGCTTCCACTACGTCGAGATTATCACACATGACAGAGATCCTCTTTCTCTGCCACGTGTGATTCCACAGCGCGCAGGCCCCGACCACTGGGAATATCTCGTGTAGGGCAGAGGAGATGCTCCGGTGGAAAGTAGCGGCCACGGCCCGGCAAACCAATGGTCCTGGAAGAACCCCCCAAAACCCACGGAAGGGGCAGCGTCCGTGTAGAAGCGGAGACCTGTAGGGGCAGAGACATATCGGAGAGGGCCATTGATGTTGCAGGCGCCCTTACGCTTAGAATCTTGGGTTGGAGAGTAGATAATCAGGATAGTAGGATGGTCGGGAAAAGCAGTGTCTCGGACCGCATGAAGGTTGAGTGAGCAATGGTGAAACGCTTATGCAGAGAAGCCATAGAAGGAGAGCAGGAAGATGCTGCGAGGAGGGCAGACATGTACTTGGAAGATGAGCCGGAGTTCAGTGCCGCTCAGAGCCGCTGCAGGATGGGCAGCATGATGGGGAGCCTGCGATCAGAAGAGTGAAGAATACAGGTATGGATGCCTTTGATTAGGAGTCCGATTGACGGCTCAGCACAGCTACTCGGCCAGCTGCATCTGATAGAATCAGAAGATTAAGTAGAGAGATGAAGCATGACCGCCGAAGCGACCCTGGGAGCATAGGTGCGAGTCCAGCGCAGCGCGGCATACTCAGCCGGGCTGCATCCATTAGAAGCAGGATAAGCTTCTGAGAGAGTGGGTTGCAGCAGTAGCAGTAGCAGCAGCGGCAGCAGCAGTAACCTCAGATAATAACAGCAATAATCCTGTATCAAGCCGCGGCAGCAGCAGCAGCAGCAGTAGCAGCAGCAGCATCCTTAGAAAATAACAGTAATAGTCCTGTATCAAAGCCACAGCAGTAGAATGTTGTTGTAGCTGTTCAGTGTTTCAGTAAAAGAGATGCAAGTGAAGAGAGATGGCAAAGTAAATGAAGCGGCAGCAGCAGTAGTAGCAGCAGTAGCAGTATGAAGCAGCAGCAGTAGCAGTATGAAGCAGCAGCAGCAGTAGCAGTATGAAGCAGCAGCAGTTGCAGCATCCGTAGATAATAACAGTAATAATCCTGTATCAAAGCCACAGCAGTAGAATATTGTTGTAGCTGTTTAGTGTTTCAGTAAAAGAGATGCGAAGTGAAGAGAGATGTCAAAGTACATGAAGCAGCAGCAGCACGGCAGCAGTAGCAGTATGAAGCAGCAGCGGCAGCAGTAGCAGCAGTAGCGGTAGCAGTATGAAGCAGCAGAAGCAGCATTAGCAGGAGCAGCAGCACCACAATGCGATTCATACGAACAAACAGACGTGTCACGCCAGCGTGCGCCGCTTGTCTCCGTGAGCCAGGTTACATACGTGTCTGAAAGAGCCGAGCCGTAGAGACAGGTGCAGCCTGGGAGCCTGCGGAGCGGCAGCGGCACATGTAGTAGTAGGAGCAGCAGGAGCAGGCAGCAGGGACAGACAGCAGCAGGAGCGGCAGCAGGAACAGGCAGCAGGAACAGGCAACAGCAGGAGCGGCAGCAGGAACAGCGGCAGCGGGAACAGGCATCAGTAGGAGCGGCAGCAGGAACAGGCAGCAGCGGGAACAGGCATCAGTAGGAACGGCAGCAGGGACCGGCAGCAGCGGCGGTCAGAGAACCATGCCCATGGTTGTTTAACAGCCTGAGGAAATAAATCGACCCGAATCCGAAACATTCCCATGCGAATAACAGATGTCCCCTGGAGCCATCTTCTGCTTTGGTTATGGCAGATACGCATGAACGATCACTGTTCCACGCGTTCATTAGCTCCAACACCACTTCACACCCATTGCAGATTCACATTGGGCCCTTTTTCTTTCTGCTGCACTTTCAAAATGCAACAACTGCAGTTTAGTTACCTAATTTAATACCAGCGACCTAGCTATTTAAATGCATGGTTTTACTGCAAGTGGCAGAACATGAATCTGAATTAATGCACATTGCTCCTCTTATATCCCTCAGACGATAGAGATTGATGCCATTTAACATGCATTGCCCCTCAGTTAGCTCAAACACATGTGAAACGGAGCCTGCAGACCAAGCACGGGGTGAAAACTGACGCCTGCAGTCCAGTGCGCAGGGCAAAAACCAGTCGCCTGCAGCCCAAAACTCCGGGATTAATCCGTCCGCGGTCGGCACACTCACTGTACTCACATGCCAGGAGACTTGGGAAAAGCAACGGGACAACGCGGCACCGCCAATCGGAGGCAGGGACACGCACGGCACCAGCAGACCACGAGGAACGAGCAGCACAGAACCCGCGGAGGGGCCCGCAGAAAGAGCCCGCAGAGGAGGAGAGCAGTGGAGACACGCGAACCACAGCAGGTGCAGGGACGCGGAGGAGGAGCAGACCACAAGCAGCCAGACTGAGGACGCCAGGGACGCGCCGAGTAGCGTGAGTAGACGAAAACGATTCCTCCAGACGATTCTTTGCAAGGCTTCGGGAGCTTGCGAGGCTTCGAGAGGCCGTGAAGTGGGAGTTTCTCCGCTTTTAAGCGGCTGCCTGGCCGGTACGGATGATTGGAAGGGGGCGTTTGCTGTGCGATAGGCTGGGGATGCGAACCGGCCTGGAGGGGGTAACTTTGGCTGACGTCTACCAAATTGAATTTCCGCGGGCTGCATTTCTGTTTTTGAAAAAATACATTCTTCCTGATGGAATAGAACCTGATTGAAGGTCTTGTTCCAGGGACTGCGGAGTAAGACACAGAAAAGTTATGTGTAATCGCAAGTAACAGCTACAATATCTTGCCACAAATAATACCTTGATTTGTTGGTCAGACATGAAAGTATCAACCTGAGCTGACTCCAAAATGTCTTTAGTCCTGCAAAGAGAGTTTGGCACTTCAACTGTAGGGTACTGATGGAGACTCAAGAAATTTTGGAACTTCTAAAGTGAATAGGTTTGAGCATACGTGGAATTAGAATAGTGATTCATGTATCACACCAAGGAAAAAAGCTACACATAGACTTAAGAAAAAATACAAGAATGTGTGTAATCTGTACAGCACAGAGAAAGGCCTGCACAAAGAAGCTGACAATATTTATCGTCATAGAAGTCGAATACAGCAGAAATAATGCGGCTGGAAAGAGGATTAATAGGGTGAAGTAAAAATAATTATGAGAAGTGAGAAAAAACAAAAGGAATCACCATTGCTTTCTAAAAATGCAACTGCAAAACAGAATACTTACATGTATGTATCCCGGGTCTGATGACATCCACAGAAAAACAGTTTCTTCGACCAATTACCCTTAACACCTGCGCATGCAAAGTGTATCCACCTTTTGCAAGTATAACACTTGAGCCAATTTATATTCTTAGCTTGAGGATGGAGCGCCCTGGGAAGACATTTTCACATAGTAAAAGTACAATGGGCTATTGAAGGATCTATATAAAGTTACCAACCTCAATGATCCCTTTTCTCGCTGGAAAACACAAACTCCTAATTCCCACGACAAACACTGAGAGTTTGATTCTTTTAGTTTTTTTTTCTTGGATTTTTATTTTTTCTTCTTCTTTGCAAATTTCTTACATTTTTTCCTCAGCCAATGGAAAATCCTAAATGAAAGCAAAATGAGTAAACAGTAGGAGGAAAATCTAGCACCCAAAAATCATAGAAGTAGTAGAAGACCTGAGCAGAGAGGCCTTTGATCATTTCTGTTGCATGATATATTCTGAGTTCTCTGCACTGTGAGCATGTTAGAGTTTGTTTTGAAAGAACTAGATTTTGGACGTCATTCTCAGCAGCCTGCCATCAAGAAAAACAAATTTATGAACACTTTAAAGATATCACATCTGTTTAACATGAGTTGTACACACCGAGCACACAAAGATTCCGCAGTTAACACCATCTCTCTGTCTCCACTGTTGAGGGAGAATAGTACGCCATCCAGTAAGACCTCCCTGGTTTCTGAACACATTTCTGAGACAAGCAGTAGACGATGACCAAAGTGCTATAAGCATGTACGATTTTTTGTGAATTCTTTTTTTCAACTATACCCCAGAAGAGCCATGTCTTCATCGCTGATGGTTGTGTAAATGTTCAGTGAATCATAGATTCTGATTTCTGCATTAGCGAAATCCAGAACCTATCAAAACAATAATGTAGCACACACATTTTCATTATGATGTGTTACGTTTTATATTTATCGTTTTTTGACAAAATATATCTTTTTAATATGTGAAAAAAAGACATACCCACAGAATGAAATGGTTACCAGTTTCTGGGGTTTGGTGCCCTACAATTCTAGGCAGAAAGATTCTATCTGCAGTCTAACAGGGGAAAAAAATACATCAAAAAATGATAGAATGTGAACAATTAAATGTGAAGACTCACCTTCAGATATCGCAGAGTGTGGTCTTGAACGTGTTTAAATTGCTTCCAATCACGGGACCAAAATATAAAGTCATAGTGCCCTAAACTCACAGACTTGGAAGAGAAAATCATACTTGTATTACTATGAACTTCTATCAATACTACTAATATATAATTTGATAATTTTACCTTGTTGCATTTTTTCATTATCTGGGCCACTCTGAAGTTCACAGCCTAAAACAAAAAATAAAAAAGTTAATTCAACACTAATAACAATAATAAGATAATGTACAACAATAAATTATTGAAGTTACATCATCAGTTAGCCAAGGCATTGCAGAATTGGCATTATTTAGCAGTTGTAAAGGGCAGACACTTTTGATGTCTCTGATGGTGATTGGAAAGCGCTTTCCAATTTTGGCTATGCTGACATGCTGACTGCGTTCCTCACTAAGCAGTTCTCTCAGAAGTGCCTTAAAAAGTAAACGTTTGTATTATATAAAACATATACAGTACACTTTCATTATGCCAATTTCAGGTAGGACAATTCAGAGGACAAACCTTTTTACCCTCACTTGCAGCATAATTGCAAACTTCAGAAGTCACTGTATCAGCTGATACAGACTGCTCCAATGCTTTCGAAGTTGAACAAAACATGTTGTTGTTAATGGCTAAAGAAAATGCATATATTTAAAAATGTATTGTTAGGTATCTCAAGTAAGTAAATTGTCTTGGAAATATGTAAAACCTACCAGAGGCAGTAACTGTTGAAACAGATGGTGCAAATGTTGCAATGCCATGCTCTCCAACAACAAGTGGCGTAGAACACTGTTTTTCCACACTGTGGACAAACTTATTGTTTATCGCCAGGTTGTGTAGTTCAACAAGAACCCGCAAAGTTTGTTTAAAATGAACCTCATTCATTTGAGTGAGGGAGTATCTGATGGCTCCTAACTCTCTGTTGAATTGTTCTGCGACAGAAGAGTTAACTTGGGCTCTTAAGTCAGGACACAGATTTAAACTTCTCATTGTCTCCTCTGGTTTTGTCTGGTTTTTCTGGTGAAAGCGGTCATAAAGGGCATATCTTTCTTTTGTTTTTGTTATTGGGTGAGGGTTATTCCATCGATTTGGATCCTTTGAAGGAAGCTGCAATGCGGGAAAGGTCATATTTTTCACCCAGGGCATTTTGATTTTAAGTTCTTTTTCAACTGCTTTAAGAATGTTGTCTTCAGTTGGTGGGGCAAGTCGTCCATCATTTGGCTGAAAAAACATCTGTTTTGTTCGGTTGTTCATGTGTCTGGCAACCTGACCAGATACATCGGAAATGAAGCATGTAGGGAATGTTTTAAAACTCAAGAGACCATCAACATGGTCTCTTGCTGATTCTGTCCAAAACAAAAAGTTGATGTAGTACACAACTCCATGATGACAGGAGAAATGCAATATTCCACCTGAAAAGAAGATGAAAGTTGTTTACACAAAATATTAGCCTTGTCACACTGTCATATTCTCACCTCCAGTTTTTTGGATCTTAATGAAGAGTTTTGGGTAAATATCTTTAAAATTCACCAACTCTTCAAGACGATTTATCAGGTCGGTTACGGAGCCTTCATCACTGACACCAAGTGCAAGACAGGCCTCTTGCAGCTCTTTCCTTTGAGGCTGTAAATAATACGTTTTATTGAACTTTTTCTAACCAGGTGATTACCATTGGCATGGTTTATGCCATAAAATTGCATAATCTTCATCAACCATTCCAAAATACAAGCTACACTTCACTTTAGGTCAAGTAGATCTAATATGGTGTCCTCATCGACCCGGTTTAAATGTACTGCAGTGACTTGTCTTTTTTTATTCCCTTTTTTGCCTCAGTTTTTGGGAGAACGTCACCAACCCTGACATCTCTCCCCATCCATGGCGCCAATGTTGAGTAGCTTCCTTTGTTTTTGAAAGGATTCTGAACGGAGGTGCCTGAGGAAATATTAAAGTGATATAGAAGTTAGATTTTAGTACCCTTTTTTTTGGGTAAACTAGAAATGAATATTAATTACCTGTCAGAAACCCTTCGGCCACAAGTTCTTTGTCTAGGTTTGTCCACGCCTTAGCAATGTCAACACTTAAGTCATTCTCTGTTATCTTGCTGAGGTCAGGCCTTTTGAATGTTCCAACTACGGATAATGATACACTATTAGCATATTTCATCTCATTTGTCTCACACAGTACTTACTGTACATACCAGGTATTTCGAATGCCAATTTCCAGTTAGCATCAGCAATCATAATTGGGGGATAATATCCACACTGGTTGCACGTAAATCCAAAGTGGAAGTCAACAAGGGCCATAAAGTGGTGAAAGGCCTTTCTGACTGTTTGATGGTGGAAGTGGTTGTCATTGAAATGTGTTATTGTCGAAAGCATGCGACCAGGAGCTGTTTTGTTCTGTAAAAAAGGTAATATGCATTCTGTTATACTGAAATGCACATATATGTTAATGTGTAGCAAGAGATGTATGGAATTTACTTACAGCTAGTGCTGACAGTAACAGGTGACACAGAGGTAGTGTTAGTAGGACGCGATCGTTGAAATTGTGGAAACCAGATGTGTACTCCTGGAAGCGTACTTGGAGGTGGCACGCAGGACAGGTTTTCATGGCAACAGAAACACCTGATCCAAAATCAAGAAATAAAGCATGGTCACAACATTGTGTGCTGCAACTACAGTGGGCATTTACATTAAACTTAAGTAGAATGATTAATAAGTATTGAAATTGCAAACCTATTTTTACATGAGTATATCCATACACTGTAGCCTGGTTTGTTATGATTTGTGGATTTAATAACGTTGGTGGAGTGGGCCCTGGATAATAAGGGCATACAAGTTCCTCTGGGGTGAAACATGCTGGTGGTTCTCTCTCGTGGGATTTAAGATCAAGTGGTATTTCTTCCGGTGGTGGTATCTTTTTATTTGTAAACAAATACTGTTGCTTCTGCCTCCAGCATATGTATTTCGGTGTCCAAATCATCGATTGTGTTCTCCTCCACACAAGAATGTCCCTGCAAAAGTTCAGGTGCTTCTTGAAAAAGCCACCACATGGCCATCATGCGGTGTATGCACCGATGGGTCTTGTTGCTTATGCAGGGGCAGTGCCATCGTCCAGATTCAATATCAAATGTGATGAAGACACGCTGAAATTTGCACCAATTATCAACAGTGTCTGTATACACAGACAAATACCTCCATCTTTTGGAGTAACCCATATCACCTAAATAAATGTGACATACCGGGTCAACTTGTGATTTTGCAGCAGCTTCAAATAGCTGCTCACATTTTCTGCACCAATCCCTTGATATGACACATTCGTTTATCATGTCAGTCAGTGTGTCCAGTAGGAGGGCTGCTGGTGGAGAATATGGGACAGCATCTTTGAGTTGTTCTAGGTGATGGCATTCTTTTGCTGGGTGACCTGATGCTGCCCCCATTTTCATAATTTGTTCACAATTGTCAACCTCACATGCAAACAGTGGAATTCTTGTAGATTTAACCACATGGATGGGGATGAAGGGACCATGTTTAAATTTGGCTGTTACATATATTCCATTGTTGCTGTCAATGCACACCACTGGCTGTGTGTTGGAATCATGAATCTCGCGTATGTGTTTTCGGTAATTGCTACCAACAGTGAATGTGGCTGAGCAATGTTCACATTTGAAGAAAGCTTTTTCTTTGTTTGGGGTTTGCTTTTCCTCCACCGGTGTTTCCTTTATGTCTATGTAGTTAAAGAATAAACAAACATATAATTAGTGTAGACCTACACCTGAAACAATGTGGTTCTAATATGTTTCTGTGTACTTACCAGTTTTGTCAATTGCAGTTATATCTATTGACATAAATGGATTGATTATTACTTACATATATATATATTTTTTTATTATTTATTTCATTCATTCAAAAGTGACATCATGCAATCACCACAAGACCGCCAATCCAACATAGCATGAATGAAACGGAGCAGAGGAGAAGAACAAGTCTTATAATATATATTTATACATATATAAAAGGAGAGACATATGAAATATGTCAACTGATATAATTTCTTACCATGTACATTTTGCAGATGTACCTTAAAAACATCTTCTCGGACAATAGGCTTAAAGTTACAGAAAGGGCAATGATAATGGACTCTTGTGGTTGTCTTTTGGCCCAATTTGCAATGACATGCAACTGTGAAACATTCTACAACACAACAAAACAAATTATATTGGCTAACAAAAACAACAAAAATTAAGACGTTCATATGAATTATTATAGTGACACAAATGTAATATTTAAAAAAAAACCTAATATGTCAGCTAGGACAAAGAACTCAGGTCTACCTTTCTGTTGATGAAAGAAGTAAACAGCTTTCTGAAGATGTTTCCTTCTTAAATGCCGTTCATTGCCTTGTTCTTTCTTTGTGCAAAATTCACAAACATTTTTAGTGCAAGCCAAGAATGCATTCACATCTGTGAAAATTTGACGAGGACCTGAAACAGCGTAAAAGTTAAACAGTCTAATTACTTGAAAAATGTTGCATTCAAAATAAACGAACAGGCTACATCTTTAACACTACCTCTTATGTGGGGTTTGATTTAAGTTATTGGTTCAAATAATTAGGCCCCAGAGATTATGTAAATATACTTTTGCGTTTTCATCACACTTTGACACAACTGTGGTTAAAATAAAACTCATCATTCTAACAATGCACAAGGCAGTACTTTTCCACTATATGTTTTGTTTATCAATCCATTAGCATCGGCAAATGCTGAATCTCTGCTCGTGTCTGAACCTTGTCACTACACATGTCTGAAAGACACGATCCCAGTCTATTGTTATTTTCTTCAATCCCTTCCCCCATCCAGGTGAAGGCTTCAAATAGCCCACTCACGGGCCTGATATGCTGTGGTTTGAGCTTGGATATTACGTTTTAGCAAGAACATTGCAAAAGTGGTTGAATAGGCCTACTGTACTTATTTAAATCCGAAACACAAATGAAAAAGACATGCGGTCGACAACTGAAAACATAGGATTTCACCGTGTAGCGTACTGCACAAAATAGCGCTATGTCAATGTCAATGTCAATGTCAACTTTATTTATATAGCACATTTACAACAACACCAGCTGCCCAAAGTGCTTCACAGGCACGAATGATAAAAATAAAAATAAAACAGTATAAAATACATACACATACATGTAAAAGTAAAGTGGTAAAAACCTCAACTGGTGTTAAAAGCCAAGGTGTAAAAATGTGTCTTTAAACTAGACTTAAAAACTTCCAATGAAGGAGCTGCTCTGATGAACAGAGGTAGACTATTCCACAGTTTGGGGGCAGCAACAGAAAAGGCTCGGTCTCCTCGAGTTTTGAGACGAGACCGGGGCACATTCAACAACATCTGGTTTTCAGACCGCACTGATCTGACCGGAGCATACAAAGATAACAGCTCCGACAGATACACAGGGGCCAAGCCATTAAAACATTTAAAAACAAGCATCAGAATCTTAAAATCAACCCTGAAAGTAACAGGGAGCCAGTGAAGTGAGGCCAGCACGGGGGTGATGTGCTCTCTCTTACGTGTCCCTGTGAGTAAGCGAGCAGCAGCATTCTGCACCTGCTGAAGGCGCTTTAAAGAGCCGAGGTCCAGACCACAATACAACGAGTTACAATAATCTAATCTTGAAGAAATAAAAAGGTGGATAACTCGCTCAAAGTCAGTCGGTGGGACGTAAGCCTTCACTTTGCTCAAGACCCGGAGCTGATAAAAGCTGGCTTTGATTACTGAATTAATTTGCTTGTCCATCCTAAAGGTGCTATCAAAAATAACTCCTAAGTTTCTGGCAGAGGAATGGACATGAGCAGAGAGTGCACCAAGTGCATCAGTGAGCTCCACAGGGAGGCTGGAGCTGAAAACAACAATCTCAGTTTTATTCTCGTTGAGAATTAAAAAATGTTGGGCCAGCCATGATCTCACTTCCTGGAGACAATCTAGCAGTGTTGCAATTGACACTGAGATGGGATTTAAAGGCAGGTAGATCTGCAGGTCATCAGCATACGCATGAAAGGAGACATTGTGTTTCTTTAGAATATCTCCAAGTGGCAGCATATACAAAGAAAAAAGGGCGGGGCCTAAAATGGAGCCCTGTGGAACGCCACAATTAAGGGGTGCCAGGCCAGACTTGTAGGGCCCAAAGTGGACAGAAAAACACCTGTTACCAAGATAGGACCTGAACCAGTTTAATGCGGTGCCTTTAAAACCAGCGTAGTGCTCCAAACGCGAAATTAAAATGCTATGATCTACAGTGTCAAAAGCAGCTGTCAGATCTAAAAGAACTAAAATGGCAGGAGAACCAGAGTCAGCTGTTAAAAGCAGATCATTAAAAACTCTGAGCAGTGCAGTCTCTGTGCTATGTAGAGCTTTAAAACCTGATTGAAACGTGTCAAAGATGCCATTATCCACCATATAGCGCAATTTCGCCTAGCATACATATACTGTCTTTACAAAACTTAATTAGCCTATAAAATGCATTCTCACCTGCCATGTTTTCAACCCAGGATCAATAATCGAAAAGTGCGAAAGCAACTTCTTCATACAGGCTGCTGACTGCTGGACACGGGTCTCCTTCCAAATAACGGAGTTACGAACGAGTCAGGGGCTTGTACGCAACACCGCGGACTAATTTCCGAGCGAAAGTGAATGCGTCTTCGCGGAGTTATACATTGCCTATAGATCTGTTGTAGGGTACCTATATACCATTATTTGTGTAAAGAAATAATTATACGCAGAACAGAGGGACGTAGGCTATTCATGGCCATTCATGGCAGATAACACACACCTTAAGAACATGTAAATAGGCGAAACGTTGACGTGAGTCCCCTGTGTGCGCAAATGTGCCAAAGCGCGGCTCACACAGCGCGCTTGCTGTCACCATGTGACCTTTTCTTTTAAAATGATGGCTTGATATAAGCCTTTGTGGACCAATCACTATTTGGTGGACCAATTGTGTCTTTGCATAATAAAAAAGTATGTAGGCTATCTTTGCTCTCTTTGATTATAGAGCAGTGAGTCACTGTCACTATCATAACAGTAGTCATCTAGTCATCATATATATATATATATATATATATATATATATATATATATATATATATATATATATTATATATAATATAATATAAATTATAATTATCACAATAAGTCGCAAAAAATGAATGCCACATGCACACACATGCAGATTAAATGTATATTATGCTAATTGAAGCACAACATAAACATCTGCATTTGTGTAAGTGTGAGGAAAAAACAAGCATCAATTGGTTAAAAGTTTTAAACTTCAGGTTATTATTACGGTGAGGTGTAAAACGTTTAACCATTCATTATCTAATTTACTAATCAGTATATTTCTGAATAATCTATGTAAATCCTGGTAAAACACACGAAAAGACGCGAACGGCATTTTGGCCATTCTTTTAACCAGTCGAAAATGGCAAAAGGTGCGTTAGCCACAGATTTGGCCACTTCGAGGCGCCCCCTTGTGGTGGCCAAAACATTGGTTAGCCATTTACCACTCAGGGATCTCGGCGTCTCTGTGCATGGAAGCCAGTCTCAGTCCAGGAGCTCAAAACATTTTTTGGTTTGACATTTCTAACTGGGTATGTCAAAAAACCCAATCTTGAGATGTACTGGAACGTGGATGAAGTTGATTCCACTCCGCACTTCAGCCAAACAATGTCGAGGAATCGATTTCAAATAATTTGGACATTTCTGCATTACGATGATAATTCAAAAACTGATTATGCAGACAAAATGTATAAAGTTCGTCCTGTGTTAGATTACGTTGTGACTAAGTTTAGGGAGCTGTATCAGCCTCATCAAAATATATCCATCGATGAGGGAATGATGCAGTGGCGGGGAAGGCTTGCCTTTAGGGTTTATAACCCTCAAAAACCAGTAAAGTATGGTATTAAGTCATACATACTCTGTGACTCTGGGACAGGCCTTATGTTGGGGAGTCCAGTACACTGCCGGAGATCGTGTATGACCTTCTGGATCGTCTCCCAGGTAAAGGGTACACACTCTACATGGACAATTTTTATAATTCAGTGGCACTGTGTGAGGGTTTATTGAAGGATAAGACAAATGTATGTGGTACACTCAGGACAAATAGGGGAGAGCCCAACATATTCAGAGAGGTGACAAAGAGCAACTTGGGGGTGGGAGGTAAAGTTGTGCGACACAATGAGAGGGTGCTGATTGTAGCCTGGCAGGACAAACGTCTTGTGAAGATGTTGACCACCTGCCACCAAGACACAATGCAGGCAGTTGAGGTGTGGCAGAAGGGACAGAGGGAGAAGTCCAGAGTGTTGAAGCCGGAGTGTGTGGTTGCATACAACTCGAACATGAATGGGGTGGACAAGTTGGATCAAAATATTGCGTATTATCCTTTTGTTCGCAGGTCCCTGAACTGGTCCAAAAAGTTTGTATTGTATGTTTTCCAACTCTGCATGTTCAATGCATATGTGATTTACCGTGCAAAACACCCAGGAGTAGGTAAATCCCTCCTGGACTTTATTCGCAGTGTGGTGAAGTGCTGGACGGTAAAGTGCCAAGAGGTGGAGGAGAGGGGAGATGGAGATGCTGGTGTAGGTGCAGGTGAAGGTGCACAGGGGGGTGTGAGCTTGGAGGAAGGAAGGTGTTCCAGAGCACCCTACAACACTGACCCAGCCAGTAGACTTGATGGGGAGCTTAGTCGACACCGGCTGGAACACATGAGACCCACATCTAGAAAGTCGAGACCAGCGAGAAGGTGTAGGGTCTGTGTGCGGAAGGGGAAGCGCAGTGAAACTAAAATGTGGTGCTCATCCTGTTGTGTCCCTTTACACGCAGATTGTTTCACGGACTACCATACTCGCCGGGATTATTATTTGTGAAACAATTTCCTTTAGTTTATAAAGTTTGTTTATTGTATATTTGTATACAAAGGGTTTTTTATTGTGTACAAGTTGATTATTTTGTGTACATACGACAATACTGTGAGTGCATAGTGTGTAAGTAAGTAAGTAAGTAATCTTTATTTATATACCAGAAGTGTGCACATTGTTTTATTTGTTAAAACATTTTTTGACATAAAAAATACAATTCTAAGTATTGTTTCTGTTTTGTGTCATTATAAGAAACTATTTCATACATTTTAAATGTCATTCAAGAAAAAAACTAAACTTTTCTGCTTGAAAAGGCTGTTTTCTCCATTTCTTGGTCTGGAAACAGCGTTTTATGTGAAAGTTACCTATGTTGTACTCTCAATTGCTAAAAAACTGAAAGGGGTAGAAACTTACTTTTAAAAAAAAATGAAAGCCAAGGGATAGAGCTTTCAATTGGTAGGTTTCATACTTGTGTCACCAAAGGGCTCACATTTCTATGAGGTTTGGAAAAACACTAAAAACAGCCAAAATCTCTGGCAGTATGAGGGATGCTGCTTCAAATATGGCTGGCAGTGAATGAGTTAAAAGACTTCCTGAAACACAACAAACGAGTTCCACATCTCCAGAGTTAACTGGGCTAAACTCTCAGTGATTCTGTTCTCATCTGCTGTCGGAAAGTTCCCTTCATACGGTTCTATTCAGTTAAATTATCTGTATATCATTTGAAGGTAAAATGACATGTGTAAAGCCCGTGCTGCTCTCGGTGTTCACCACTGGAGGGCGCTGTAGCTTAGCCCTCATCATTGCACCTGTTGTGGTTCATTAACTCACCTGTGTTCTGCTTGAATTTTCTAACAGTTTAGGGGGACGAGCTTTTACTATTTTCCACCGTGATGTATCGTTTTGAAGAGTTTTCCTTTAAAATAGAAAACAAAGAAGTTCTCAGTTTCTTCAGTTCTTAGAGTTTTATATGTAATATGTATTCATGTGGATGTCAAAGCGATAATCAGCTGTTCTGTGTGTTTCGTGTGTATCTTCTGTTCTGTATGGTTTTATAAGCATGTGTAGATTCACATGTGCATATTTGATGACTATTTTTTTAAATGTAACTCATGTATTTAGTTTGTGTTTATCCATTAAAGGACAAGTGTGTGTGTTGGAGGGGGACCCAAAGGGGGTGGCAATGGGGTGAATGGAAATGAAAAGAAAAAATAATGCTCAAAAGTACAATCTAAAACACATTTACACATCACAAACTAAATGAATTTCACGCTGAGGCTTTAAACTGTAGCAACATAACTGATGGTGTAAAGATCTGTCTGTGGATGGATGTGTTTTGCCAAAAGTAAAATCAAACCGTGGGAAGAGAACTGTCACAAACAGAGAAAAGGAAAATGCTCCTGAATCAGTGACTCTGGAGTAAAAACTAAAAGGTTTGAATCCGTTAAAACAGTTTCTATTGAATGTGTTTTCATGTTGATTCCTCTGTAATCTTCCACATAGATGTTGTAGACTGTTATGCTTATGTTGTAAATATTATCTGAATAAACTGTAATGCATTTTATTTTATATCCTTTTTTAGATTTGGACCCAGGCAGAAAAGCAACAGTTCTGCTGATGGGATCCCTTCAATAAACATGAAATCCAGAGGAAACATTTACTTTGGCACCCATGGTTTCACTAAAGGTTCTTCATACTCTGGAAATGAACTGAGCCCATGGATCTATAATAATAACTGGATAGAGTATAGGGCTGGAAAGTCTCGTCCCAGAAGCACTTCCGGTTCATGGCTCGGATACAAACAAACCGTCAGCTGTTCGAAGAGGCTGTTTAAATGAATGGTGCAAAATGCTCTGCTTTGTTTTCGGCTGTTATCATCAAAGTTTACATGAAGCTCATTTTTTAGGTTTCCCAAAGACCAACTGAAGCTGTGTAAAAGCTATGCAGTTGTGATAAAACATTTTGTCTGATTTTACTGATGGTTAACTTGAATATGTATTCAAGCTAACTTGTAGCTAATGCTAACCTGTAGTGCGCTGCCGAGCCTTTCATTGTGGCTTGTATTTTAAGATAAGAATAACTTTATTGTTGTCACACAGGAGACATGTATTTATTTATTTGAGAGATAAAGGAGGAACATATTAGTCACATATTAAATAACATTTAACAAATGTTCAAATATAAACAGAAAGAAGCTTGATATGCAGCACTGAAGGATATGCAGAGAATCTTTCAGTTTCTCCAAATTAATAAATTCTGTGGCTATGGCAACATTTGGTACAGTAATTTCATATGATAGCAAATTTCTATTAAAATCTAGTGTTTCATGAACTTGATATTCACAACAAAATAAAACCGAATCAACAATAAAAATATTATTAATCAGTCCAAAAATAGGCAATCCATTATCAGTGTCTGTAATAATTAAGCTTTTTCCAGTTGTGTAAGTGTTACCATTTAACGTAACCCACTTGACAGAAATTACATGCTGGACATCGACAATATTTAGAAACTCTCTGAGCTTTGACTCAACATATTGGATATTTGACACTTCTCCCACAGGGCCTAGATCTTTCTCATGGGCAAAAATATTATTTTTTTCATTTTGCGTGCTTTCAAACAATTTGATTGTGCTGGACAAGAGATTTGCAAATATTTTTATAGTTCAATTTTGAAGACCACTTTTTAAAAAATCTGTGTTTGGATTCAAACCTCATACACATATGCCTTCTCAGGGGACCCAGGGCCTCTATTTGTGAAGGAAAATGTATCATATAATGCTGTTTGGGAGTTATGTTGTTGGCAGGGAAAAGATTAGTAAACTCTTTTAGGTGCTGTTCAATCATCCTCCTGAGTTTTTCCAATGTTTCAATTGCTATAACTGGGGAAAATATGATTTGAGATATTTCAAGTAATCCTATTATGAACTGGACATATACATTAGTACTGATGCCGTTTACAATAAATGGAAATATTTTCATGAACACCAACATCTGCCCTGAAGACTGTTTAAGTTTGTTATCATTTGAGGATAAAGTATTTACAGTGATTGGGCATGGTTTGTCGCGTACATCAACCGGTGAATAAGAAAAGCCTTGTATACCTGCGTTTATAGAGTCCAATTCAGTGTCTCCAGACAAAATGAGAGCCTTTAACACGCATTTCATTTCATAGGGCACCACACCCTCAAGTAACACATGCATTATATCCTGTGGGGTTTGCCGGATTAAATCAAAAGCTGGGAAATCGACAAGTTTGCTCCTTCTATTAAGGCCATAAGTAGTCATAAGGGATTTTTTAAGAAATTCTGTACTGGCCCTCTCCATTTCTTCACACTGTCTGATATGATTTCGTAATGTTCTTGGGGTAAAATAATTCTCATCAAAGTTGCTTTGCATGCTGTTAAAGTCACACTCACAATGCCTGCACTTGCCAAAAGCAAAACCAACCCCAGACTTAAACCCAGCTAGATCATGCTGAGCAAGGGTATCCCCACATACTGATATTACAGCACCAAAGATATTTGTTTCCGTGCTTCCAGTTTTGACTTTTGTACCACTGTAAAGCTTCTTTAAATCCTTTTCAATTCGCTCCAAAATAACATCAACACCAGCCTCTGAAATATCCTTAGCTTTCGCAATTGCGAGAAGTCTTATGACTGGAAACTTTGACCTAAATTTAGGCTCAATGTTTCCTAATGAGTAATAGAACATCAGTAGTTTGTTAACAGAAGCATGTGCACCAAGAGGATTGCAGATTTCAATTTCATCTGAATATAAAATTAATTGTAATGCTGTGCGTGCGCTTAACAGAAAATAAAGGATGAGTTTTGAAAAGGCTCCCATTAACAATGTCTTTAAGAAAGCCATCTTTGCTACAATTTGTTGGGTGATGAATCATATTGAATATTCTCGGGTTACACAGAAATTGTTCCAAACTTTTGATGAGAGGCACATCATAAAAAGAAATGTTCCTAGTTTTAAGTACCCTTGTTCCACCTCTCTTAACTCTACAGAGCCTTTGTGAGATGATGACCTCTTCAGGTTCAACTGGATGAAAGAGTTCTTTAATAGTTTGGTCCTGCATGTAACTCGTGGTCAAGGAGGCGAAAGGATCTGGGAAGTCAACAATTGTTGCCATTGTCTCATCACGAAGCTGCTCTATGTTGTCCATATGTCCATGTCTTTCAAAAACATTCCTCACTCTCTCTCGCAGGTTTTCCAAAAGGGCAAATTGAAACTGTTGCACTTCAGCCACTATGTTGTTGACATTCCCCTGGAATAAGAAACAAAAACAAATATTATTATTATTAGTATTAGTATATTAGTAGTAGTAGTAGTATTAGTATTTCACAATTACATATACAGTTTTATTCAAAATTAAATACAATTTGTACCACTATAAAAGTATTTCTATTTTTCTGGCACAACCCCCTTTAGCAATTGACCAAAAACATAAAAAAAATGGCTCCAAAATAGGCTATAATTTTTTATCTCTTAACCACAAACTGAACAGACCTTATTTTGTCCAATTTGGCATTATCCATATCTAAAAGCTTCTTGAAAAAAAGCGTAAAATCAAGGATGATGACATGACAAAAACGTGCCGGAAAAGCAACACGATAAAAAAAAAAAGTAATCTATGAAAAATAAATGGAAATAGCCCCATGGTAGTTGGACTCAACTTGTATAGCGCTTTTCTACCTTTATCAGGCCCAAAGCGCTTTTACAGTAAAGAACCAGTCACCCATTCACGCTCTCATTCATACACCAATGTACGCAGACACTGGTGCTCTATATTAATTTTGTTGCCATAAAACATGGTGTTTATGGTGCACTCTATGCAAATTCCCCGCCAACATTCAAAGCTCTGTACCTCTTCATGAGGATGTGCCTCAGACAAAGAATAATATAAAAAGAGATAGATACTTTACCCTAGAAATGCAGCATCTTTCGCGAACATCAACGGTGAATGCAGCAGCACGTCTGGTTAAAGCCTGTGTAAAAGAAATAAGACATGAAACAAGAGAATTATTAGCCATTGGCACAGTATATAAATGTCCCATTTAATTCCCTTAAATAAAAACAAATATTTATAACATATTATTCTAAATTTTACATTATATACCAATGATGGTGGTTGTGTAAACTTGACCACAAAAAAAACCTGTGAAAAAATAAAAAAGGTAATAAGATCGCATTGATACAATATTTATTACAGGTCTTAACTTTAGCTGCAATACCATGCATGTTTACATGTTAGTGCTGCACCACTGTTATGAATGCTAAAGTGAATTTAAGTTTGTGAGGCTGTGAAACAACACAGATAAATTGCAGCCTAAAAACCTGTCTGGCGATGTGTCCTCTGCATCGCGCATGATAATCTTACCGGTTACCTGTACAGTTTAAGGACGGGACCTACCAGCTGTAAGCTGCATGCTTACAGGACTCTCCTGTAAACATCGTGCGCAGCTAATGCTAACGGTAAGTTAACATTTGCAGTATACATTTATTAACAGCTGTGTTGCCACAATTATAGACGTTAGTCTACAATGGGCAAACACCTACAGGTCATACTCCGCATTCATGTTAATCTTTTTTTTCCAATGCTACGTTAGCCTGTCTCAGTAAATCCCATTATAAAATCGAATGTAGCTAAGCTAACCTGGTGAGATTCACTGATCTATATTACGCTAGTCGATTATGCTTACCTTGTCGGGTGTTATTTGGGCTTCAAGAGGTTGAACATCAAGGGGTTGAATATCAAGAGGTTGACTGTGTCTTTCCTCTACTTCGTCCAGGAGCTCTTGTTCAGCGGTCCCACCTAGGGTTGCATTGTTGAAGCCGTTAGCTTCGTTAGCTTCGAGGGTGGTAGGGTCCGCTTCAGGATTGCTGGTAGCTCTACCGGTAGAATGAATGGATGAAGCACAGCCGGAGAAAATTGGTATGTCGAACCGTTCATCTCCAAGACCGTCTGAGTGAGTCAATGTAGAAGTGACCGGTGGTGGGCGTCCATTAGCCAGGTAGGATGCATGTCTTCGTTTGATGTGGTAGTAGAACGAATTAAACACTCGATAGTCTTCTGTGCAGCCATCTATTCCACAAATAGCGTGAAATTTAGGATTGCGTCCATGAGCTTTGTTGATATGGCTCAGTAGTACTTTTAAAGTCAATGCCATGAACACGAAACAAATGACACAGCGCCATCCCACCGCCATCATGAAAGAGACAAGGGGAGAAGAGAAAGAGAGAAGAAAAGAGAGGGGATTTTGAAAATAACGGCTGTACTATGGGGGGAGGGAGGGGGCGGACTATACCATTTGGAATGGAGTCAGGTAACCTAAATGCTTTTTTTTATCTGATCAGTTATATTTTACACAGTTTGCGTATTGTCTTGTATTGTCATAAATTATTATTGAATATTCCAGTACTAACGAGACATTTTTAATTCATGGTTTGTCCTGAAACAGAAAACGCACCCCTATTTCAGGCTAATTGGAATTCCCTTTCGCCACAGAAGGCGCCAGGGAGCCGTCGTGAGGAGATGTTTCAGAGTTCATACAAGAAAACGACAAAACTTGAGCAAAGAAAACCACAGGAATAAGGTATTTTAGGCAAATAATATTAATTATTGGATAATGACGTCCTTTGGCGTTCATTAATAAAGTGGACTCTTTTCTTTCAAAAATTGACGAGTCATTTAACATTAGCCTGGATAATTAGCTAACGTTAAGAAGTTAGCCAGGCTAATGTTAAATGAGTTTACATATCAAATTATGTTAAATACATTTAGCAGCTTTACTATAAAAAAAAAAATAGATTGGGATACATTTGCAAAACAGAAAGGCACAACATGTACAGGGTTTGTTAGACTGGATAATTATTTTTTTTAATTTTGTTTTTTGTAGCTGATGGCGGGTGTGGGCCAGACATCGAGCCATGCCCATGGTGGAGAAGACGGAGACTGGTAATCTTTAAACAAGGCATATAAAGTAAAAACAATATGATTACTTTGACAAACTGTCCTTAACAGGATGGAACTTGACAGTGTGGCAGTCGAGATTTTAAAAGGTAAGAATAAAAAAAGATTCCTACTGTGAAATATGGTATAATACATGAGTAACACATTTATGAATGTAATTTGAGTAGTGTATTCAAAAACTCAAATTCATGCCATTTTGTATGACTAACAGAGAACAAAAGAGTCGAAGAACAACTGGGTTAACTGCCGGATTGCCATGGGTAAATGTTAAAGGAATAGGCCACCGTTTTTGCATACTGAGATATGTTCTTACCTTAGCTTAGATACGTACCTGTCTGGTCTTTATGCGTGCGCTCAGTAACACGGAACCTGTTGTTAGCATTTAGCCTCTCCTCCTCTATGGGGCCAAACGGGGGTGAAGTTAGAAGCGACCAAGCTCTTCCACGCTTCCACTATTTAAATATGGTTAAGTGAGCGTTTATACGATCCAAGTATAGTTACATAAAATTAAACATGTCGATTTTCTAAGCGGATAAAAAGGGGAACTATGTTGTGGCGTAATAATACCATAGGAGCACTTTGACGTCCGCGCAGTAAAGTCGAAGTGCTCCTATGGTATTATTACATCTTTCAATATAGTACCCCTTTTGATTCGCTAGAAAATCGACATGTTTAATTTTATGTAACTATACTTGGATCGTATAAACGCTCACTTAACCATATTTAAATAGGGGAAGCGTGGAAGAGCTTGGTCGCTGCTAACTTTACCCCCATTTGGCCCCATAGAGGAGGAGAGGCTAAATGCTAACAACAGGTTTCGTGTTTTTGCGTGACTGAGCACACGCATAAAGATCAGACAGGTACGCATCAGCTTGTTTAAGCTCAGGTAAGAACATGCCTCAGTATACAAAAATGGTGGCCTATTCCTTTAACGTATATGGTTAAATTCAGTGTTTTCTAATTGAAGCCATGCTATTTTTAGCAGCCTTCAGACCTTCATGGATAAGGAAAGCCCAAACTCATCCAAAGTGTTTTAATAAAAATTACTCTTTCCTAACATGGTCTAAAATAATGTCAAAGTACTTCACATAAATTAGCACATCTTACACACTTGAAATTTGGAGCAGTTATGACCACTTTTAAAATTAATAACATTTCTCTATTTGCGCCAGCCGCAAATGTTGATGCAGACGTCCTACAAACCTTAACGAGAGAAGATTTAAAGGACCTCTTTCCTGGGCCGGAACACTTTCGAAGAAGAAAAGCCATTTGGGACCTGGCCCACCCTGTGGTAAGTTATCCTTGAGCATTAACTTAATGTTTTGGTCTCTTCTAAATACCATATTCTTCTGCTTGTATTTCATGTGTCCAGGAGCAGGCAACAGAAGAAAGTGAGGGTCCTGTTCATCTTGCAGTTAAAAAAAGTCCTTTGAAAGTTGTGCAGCTCCCAAGCCCACAATATGTGATTTATACTGACAGTGAATTAGAACATGTGAGGAGAGAATATTTTGAATTTAAACGCATTGGGCGAGAAAGGGAGTGCCAGCTTTCTAAAGAACTGTACTGTAGACTGATAAGAAATACGATTATCAGCATGATAACTGCTGTGAGAGCGTCAGGTGGGACTGACTGCCTGCAATACCCCACAAAAGAGGGGCTGCAGGCCATGGCCAGACGAATCATGGACTACTATCCAATGGTCGCTGACTGGGCAGACACCAGCTGTCCATGGGTAAGTGTATGCAATGATAATTTTCCATTGACAGCACACTGTTAATGTTTTCTTTTTTAAACTTTAATTTGTCCAGGGCTAGAGGTGTGATGGGGTAGTACAGTATTTGTGCGATAAACTGGCACCAAGCTTTTTTCCTGACTTTGCCTTGTCTTATTGTTTATGGTCTTATAACCATATCTTACAAGTAGACCAGTTTTGAAGATGTCTTTACTTCGAAAGACACTGCTGTATTTTAATGTAGTTTTAAAAAACTTTTTACAATGTTGTTACTTTTTTGTGTTACAGTCCGATATCTTCAAGAAGCTCAACAAGAGACTACAAAACATCAAGTCTCCACGAAAATGGCAAGGAGCTACACCATCGAGAGGCAATGGGAAAAGAAGACGCCTTTCTTTTGAGAATACTACTGGCAAGGAACTCACAGACGAGGGAGAAGAGCCGGTCGTGGACTTGAGCCCGTGTGCTTCAAATGTCTCTCCAAGTAGCACCATTTGCACCCCAGAAAGGCCACAAGTTCAGTCGCCTTATACGGCCAGCGAGAACCTAGTTAAATCAGGCAAGTCGCCTTGTGGATCTCTAGCAGTAAAAAAACAAAAATAAAAGTTTGGTGCTGTTAATGTGATTGTGTACACAAGCTTTGTTTTTGTTTTTTATTATTATTATTACTGTGGTATTAAAATAGAAAGTGAATATTGGAATCGTGTAGTTTTTTTCTTAATATCCAAATCTCAATTTCATTGTTTTTTTATTCATTTTTGGTGTAGGTCCCAAACTGCACGACAGCCGGATTGCCCAGGCCAGACACTATAAAACACTGCAAGAAATGTTTCGAAAGCCAAAACAAGACAAGGAGGCAGTTGCTCAACTGTTGGATTTAGAATTTGAAGCAAGGAGAAACTTCATAGATGCAGACCTGCTAAAAGAGCCGGACAAGGCAGCTAAGATAATTGACGCCTATCCCTGCTTCAAAGACATTGACCATGTAAGCTTTTATTTGATTATAGTTTGCTGATACTCTCTGGCTATTGTCATTTACATATATTCCACTAATGCCTTAGATTTTGTTTAATTTAGTTTTGCATGTGTCTAAACTGCAGCCAGCTGTGCTTGCCTCATCTTAAGGAATCCTGTAGTAACATTCTGATACCTTTAAGGCCCTCGACGAAGTGGGGAGAATAATTGCCAAAGGACAGCACAACTATGCCATGGAGCTGAGAGAGCGCTGGGAAGTCTTCAAGCAAAAATTAATCTATGCTGTTTTACAAGAAGGCAATGAAACCACCGATGTCACTTTCTAAAGGTAATTTTTCAAATGATCATTTTTAAATGAGTTATTTAAAAATGATTTATTTTGTTATTTAGACTTTTCAAGTATATACTATTAATAACATCTTGTTATTTATTTTTTGCTTCCCCAGAAGAACAAGCAATTGAGCTACTGAAGTGCCTCCCAGTGCTATTTCCTTCTAATGCTGCCCTTCCGAAGAAACTGTCCAATGCATCGGACGCCCTGTTCCATATCTTATTGGTAAGATTCTTTGTGTTGTGTAAGATTATAAGATTCCTTTTTATTGCATGGTGCATGGTCGTCCAGAGGTTAGCACTCATGCTTTACAGCTAGAAGGTCCTGGGTTCAATCCCGGGCCGGAGGGGTCTTTCTGGGTGGAGTTTGCATGTTCTCACCATGTCTGCGAAGGATTCTGTACTCCGGTTTCCTCTACCACTAAAAACGTGTGCTGTAGGCCAAGATGAATCTGTGTGTAAGTGAATGAATGGATGGACCATTGGCGTAGATGTGTGCAGTGTCAGTCTGTCAGTCTACCCCAGGGGAAACTGTGGCTACATATAGCCTACCATTACTGTGTTTGGAGTGAATGGAGAACAAATCATGTGCAAAGCACAATACAAATTACTATTAGGTTGTACTTGATGCGAAAGGTTTGAGAGCCATTGTTATTCAACAATATAATATTTTGTTTTTCCCTTTCAGCCATTACAGGAACCAGGAATGTTTCTTCAGAAGCGACCTCTCTGCACTCCAGTCCTGCTCGTTGATGAGGATGGCTGCTTCCTATGTGCTGGCTCAACTCCCATCTCATCTTTTCCAAAATCCAAGCTCCAGGAAGACATTCTTTACATTATGGCTTATTACTACGTTTTTCACATGGCATACCCCAAATGCATTGCATCCTTGTTGCTAGTCCTGCAAACAGAGGTACTTCAAGATCCCATCACGGACAATGATGCAACCCCTGCCTATAAAAAGGCGATGACAGAGTTTGCAGCTTTTGTTGGGTAGGACACTCGCTTTTACAAGTATGTTCTGAAATGCATTTGGTTATTGCATTTTCTTGTTTTGGAAGAGCATTCTTTACACTCTCATTTTTTGTTAAAAGAACTGGAGAAATATTGTTTAAGAGAGGTGTGCATTTTGCAATTATTTGGCATTTCAAACTCATCTTAATCACCATCTTATGCTTTGTTGGTTAGAAACCCCTATTAAGAAACATACTGTCAATGTTGTGCAATGGGTTTAATTAATAAAAAGGCTATTACACTGCAATCTCCTTTTGTAAATGTATTGTTGATGATTCAAGCAAGACTATCTTAAACCTAGTATCTCTATCTATGCAAGAATTATAAGCTTATTTTAAGATCTGTGGTGCACTAGAAATGAGCAAATTTTGGTCTCTGCCTAAATCCTAACAAGCAATATTTACTTAAATCAAGAATAGATTTGCTCAAAATAAGATATAAAATCTTAAAATAAATACTTAAAACTAGTGTATAAAGCTTAAAACAAGATTTTCAGCATTTTGAACTTTAAGTGCAAATGTCTTACTGCACTGGCAGATAATTTCAGAATTATCTGCCAAAAAAAGAAAGGGCTTTTTTGTAGTGCATTTGTATGCATTTACCTTCATGACAATTATTTGAGTTAATTGAAGATGTTTCTATAATTTCAGATCCATTCTCCATCACGGGTAAACGTGAAAGTATTGGGCATGGTCAAACGTGGTCAAAACATGCTATTTAGTGATGACGATGAAACAGGAGCTCTGGAGAGAAGACAACGTGAAGGTGCCTTTTGAAATGGAGGCAGAAGTGTCAGAGGATAAAATTGTATCCTACTCCTTCAGCCACCCTGTTCCCCAAACGAACTCGGCCATAAGCCCCTCTTAGCTGCCCCCTCCTTCTCCCACTCCTGCCCCTTCCTTCCCCCACTCCTGCCCCCTCCTCCTCCCACTCCTGCCCCTCCTTCTCCCACTCCTGCCCCCTCCTCCTCCCACTCCTGCCCCTCCTTCTCCCACTCCTGCCCCCTCCTCCTCCCACTCCTGCCCCCTCCTCCTCCCACTCCTGCCCCTCCTTCTCCCACTCCTGCCCCCTCCTTCTCCCACTCCTGCCCCCTCCTTCTCCCACTCCTGCCCCTGTCTTCTCCCCCTCCTGCCCCCTCCTGCAGACTGCTTCAATCTAACCTTTTCAATAAAAGTTGCTTGTTACTTAATTTGTGTGTGAATTATTTTGTGTATAGGAATACTTTTGCGTGGCAATAATTGAAGCATGAACGTAATACACTAATACATTACAAACCCAAAAATTGCCTCTAGCTACCGCCCTATTTCCTTGCTGTCCGTGTGTTTCAAGATGCTGGAGCGCCTGATTCTACAGAGAATTAGTCCGGAGCTGGACAAGAAGATCACAGTAGAGCAGGCTGGTTTTAGACAGGGGCGCAGTACCTGCGATCAAGTCCTTGCTTTGACCACGTACATCGAAAATGGCTTCCAGAGCAAACTCAAGACTGGTACAGTTTTCCTTGATCTAACAGCAGCGTATGATACGGTATGGCATGCTGGCTTAGTACTGAAATTATTCAGAGTGCTACCACGCTGGGTCGTAGAAACAGTTGAACTCTTCCTCCATGGCAGAAGATTCCGAGTCCATATGGGAGACAAAAGCAGCTCTTGGAGAAGTCAAGTGAATGGACTACCACAGGGATCAGTCCTATCTCCAAGCCTCTTTAACCCTTAAATGGTTTCTGTGTCCTGGGAGATACAGACATTTGGCAGGCTGTAGGGGGGAGGGGCATTAAGTATCTGCACTAAATATCATGAGAAAGTCTTAAGGGGGGTTGGGTCAAGTACCCAGGTCATGTGACTTCATTGCAGCATTCAAAACTAAATTGATACATTTATGTCACACTCTAAAATGGCTGCCTACATGGACAGAGACACTGGGCATGAGGTAAGTGTTGTTATTTTTCTTGTTAATTATGTTTTGGGGGGATTTGTTTTTGAAAATATTGTTCTTTAAGGATAATTTTATGTATTCTTGTTGAAAAATAATGAATTACATTTACACAACTTTGATAAACAGGCATTGAATGTCTGTATCCCGGGGGATACGTTGCCCAGATAGGGGTATATAAACAGGCATAATCACTCTCAGATATACTTATGTTTTGAAGCCTATACTCTACAGATAATCAATAATTTAAAGGTGTTAAATGTTGATTACACTACATTTTACTCTTAAATGTGTATTACTGATTAATTTACCTGCGTACATATGTTTTCAGGGAATTTCTACCAGTACTTTCTATGGTACAAGAGAGAGGTGGCATCTGTTGTGTTGCCACCTGATGGTTCATCTGATTCAGATGAAGATGAGGGAACCAGTGAAGATGAGGAAGATGAATTGTATACAGAGGGCCAGTGTCAGGACAGCAGCAGCAGCAGCAGTGACGATGAGGCAGAAGAGGGAGCAAACCACAGTAAAAGAGGGAGGATGTTCAGGTAATGATTAGAGTAGTATAGTGAATTGTTATGTAAAAGATCCAACTATTTTGGTGTAGATATTGTACGTACAGCATCTGTCTGCAGCAAAACATGATGTGTTGTATGGTCATGTGTGTTAGTCTCTCTCACTCGCACACGCAGGAATGCATGTACACACGCACGAACGTGCGCACACACACTAACATACGCGCACACACACACACACACACAGGAGTTTAAACATATAAAGATTTTGGTGGTTTGTATTGGTGATTGGGGGAAGGGGGTGCCTGTTTTTTCACAGATATTTTTTTCCTTTTCAATAGGTGGAGAAAAACTAAATTTGAGCACCAGTCTACTGCTACACCAAGTTGCTTCACTACACCAGATGAGCTATCCACGCCATTAAAGGAATAGTTCACCGTTTTTACATACTGACATATGTTCTTACCTTACCTTAGACTAGTTAATACGTACCTGTGTGATCTTAGTCCGTGCGCTCTGTCATGCAAACGGAGCAAAAACGGGAGGACAAATGCAGCCTCCTCTGGTCACTGTGTAGCACCAAAAGGTAGCTCCCGCTAGAAGCTACCAAACTCTTCCAAGTGTTCCCTATTAAATGTATATAGTTACGTGACGTGTTACACTGCAAAGTATAGTAACACAGAAATGTAACTGTCGATTTTCTCAGCGGATAAAACGGGTACTATATTGTGAGGCGTAGTAATCTGAGGTGCGCTACGTCCGCGCACTAACTTCTCTCCGGAGACTTGTCTCTCGCTCACTTCCGTCAATAGAAGCAGCGTGACTTGTAGTACGGAGAGAAGTTAGTGCGCGGACGTAGCGCACCTCAGATTACTACGCCTCACAATATAGTACCCGTTTTATCCGCTGAGAAAATCGACAGTTACATTTCTGTGTTACTATACTTTGCAGTGTAACACGTCACGTAACTATATACATTTAATAGGGAACACTTGGAAGAGTTTGGTAGCTTCTAGCGGGAGCTACCTTTTGGTGCTACACAGTATACAGGGGAGGCTGCATTTGTCCTCCCGTTTTTGCTCCGTTTGCATGACAGAGCGCACGGACTAAGATCACACAGGTACGTATTAACTAGTCTAAGGTAAGGTAAGAACATATGTCAGTATGTAAAAACGGTGAACTATTCCTTTAACATACTTCTCCAAATTCTTTGATGAGGACATCTTTGGGACCATTGCTCACCAGACGAACTTGTATTCATGTCAGCTCATTGGAAGTAGCATCAACACTGATGCTTCTGAAATCAAAGCATTCATTGGAATGAAGTTGATGATGGGTGTAGTGAAAATGCCTGCAGTGGAAAACTACTGGGCAACAGATACTAGATATGACAAAGTAGCAGATGTCATGCCACTCAAGAGGTATAAATGTTTGTCCAGGATGCTCCACTTTCAAGATAACATGAGCTCTGATTCCAGTGAAGATCGCCTGGTGAAAATAAGGCCTGTACTTGACCACATGAGGGGGCAGTGTATGGAAATTGAGAGTGAAAACCAATTCTCAATTGATGAAATGATGGTACCATACAAAGGCAAAAAAGCTGGAAGTCTGCGGCAGAAATGGGGTTTCAAGATCTTTGTGCGAGCTGGTGTGTCTGCCTTTGTGTATGACTTCATGGTTTACACAGGGAAGTCTACATTTGATGGTGCTTCTCTAGACAAAGAGTTTGGGTTATGTGGAAATGTGGTTCTGCAGCTGTGCAGAACCATCAGAAATCCCTCCAACTGCGTTGTCTACTTTGACAACTTTTTCACATCCCTGAGATTGATAACTCATCTAAAGGAGTCTATGGGCCTCAGCAGTTTGGGTACCATTCGAAAGAACCGCTTGATAGGTTGCACATTGGAAGAAGATAGAGACCTCCTACGAAGAGGAAGAGGCAGCTTTGACTTTCGTGTAGACAACGATGCAAAGCTTGCTGTGGTCAAATGGGCAGACAACAAAACTGTCACCTTGGTGAGCTCCTGTGCTTCTGTCAGCCCAGTTGGCCAAGTGAGACGCTACTCCAAAGAGGAAAAGAAGAAGATAAGCGTGCCATGCCCGAAGATTGTATCTGAGTACAACACTCACATGGGAGGAGTAGATTTGGCTGATATGATGATTGCCCTCTATCGCACTCCAGCCAAGTCACATCGATGGTACCTGGCCATATTTTGGCAGATGGTTGACATTGCTGTCAATAATGCCTGGCTTCTCCATCGTCGTGATGCAGCCCAACTGGGTCAGAAACATCATTGCCTGAAGGTCTTTAGGTTGGATGTTGCCAAAGGACTCATCTACCCTGAAAAGCAAAAAAGGGGTCGCCCCTCCAAAGGAAACGAAGACAACACACCACCAAGAGTAATCAAACAGCCAAAAGTCCCCAGGCCTGTGGATGATATGATATATGACAGGATTGACCACTTCCCTATCGTGTCAGTGAAAGGCCGATGCAGGATGTGCCAGGATGGACAGACCTCCATCGTGTGTCAGAAGTGCAAAGTGAGGCTTTGCATTGTCACAGGCCAAAACCCTCGCAACTGTTTGCACAGCTTCCACTGCCAGTAAGCTATTTCTAGTGTAGGAGCTCCACAGGAGAGATGTTTGCATAAGAACAGTAATAATGTTAGTAGCTCGTTGTTTATTCAAAGTTAGATTTGTTTCCAATGACTTGTGTTCAGTTTTTCCCCCACTTTTTTAAACTTTGTTTACAAGACATGAAAAAAGTAACTAATTAATTGCTTATAATATGTTTTAAAAGTTTACAAATGAAATATTTGAAAATGTTAAATTTTTACCCTAAACGGGCAATGTATCCTGGGAGATACAAACTTTAAAATGAAAAATAAAGGTCATATTCTGAAAAAAATCATGAAATTGTGTTATTTTAGCCTAGAAACATTAGAAAATAGCAATTAATTATTTTTCCAAAGTTTTTATATGTGCTTGCCCATTTAAGGGTTAATGTCTACATCAACGATCTGCCAGTGACCCGGTCACGCAAGTTCATATATGCTGATGACATATGCCTTGGAATCCAAGGTCGTACGCCCAATGAGTTAGAGTTTATGCTAAACGAAGACATGGAACTAATGGCTGAGTACCTCATTAAGTGGCGGCTCCAGCCAAGTGCCACAAAAACACTATCCAGTGTCTTTCATTTGTACAATGCAAAGGCCCGCCTTGAGTTAAACGTCTACCTAAAGGGGCAACGGATCAAGCATGACCCAAACCCAGTTTACCTGGGCGTTACCTTGGACAGATCGCTGACATATCACGTGCATCTGAAGAAAACAGCAGCGAAGGTCAGCACTCGGAACAATCTGCTCAGTAAACTAGCTGGGACAAGCTGGGGTGCGAGTGCCCAGACATTAAAAACTACGGCACTTGCGTTGTGTTACTCGACGGCTGAATACTGTTCTCCAGTTTGGTCAAGATCGTCCCACACCAGGCTAGTTGACATACAACTAAACACGTCTATGCGCACCATCACCGGAACGCTACGCTCTACTCCACTACCATGGCTCCCGGTACTCAGCAACATCCCACCACCACACCTTCGTCGAAAGGAAGCAACAGCCAAGCTATTGGCCAAGGTCCGTACAGACGTTCGAATCCCTCTCAATGCGGATATCACGTCACACCCAGTAGCGCGCCTTACTTCGAGACATCCAGTCTGGCTAGATTCACCGCCAGAGGATTGGACAGCCATTTCGGCATGGAGTGCCGAGTGGTCAACAGCAGATGCTGTGAACCGCTCCCTCGTAGCCGAGCCATCTGCCCGCCCTCCCGGCTTCGACCTGCCACGACAACAATGGAAGACGCTGAACCGGTTCCGAACAGGTCAAGGTCGCTGCGCGACAAACCTTGTCCGTTGGGGTCAAGCCACTGACCCAACATGTAGCTGTGGTGCTCCAGAGACTATGGCACACATTGTGAACGATTGTCCACTGACTCATTTTACCGGTGGACTACCGGCCCTACACCTTGCTGAAGAAGATGCTGTTCTATGGCTAAGCACGCAAAGCAAACGCTAAAGAAAGAAAGATTACAAATAACAGGCTTTATTACAAACAAATAATCATAACAATAAAAGTAATGTGAATACAACATATTACAATGTTAATTTGCATCTGTTATAGAAATCTTTTAGTAAGGCAATCTGAATTAACATAAAATAATTATGGGAATACGTTATTAACTAATAGTCAACTCTGGTTTCAAATACAGGCCATAATGATCAGTTGTCATCCAGGTTCAGCTGAGAGATGGAGACGTGTTCCTATTTGTCTTTGACCTCATCTGGGTCATAGAACTATATGTTCAGGTCAAAGCAGATTATATCAGAGTAGTATCAGAGTAGTATCAGAGTAGTATCAGAGTAGTATCAGAGTAGTAACAGAGTAGTAACAGAGTAGTATCAGAGTAGTAACAGCGTAGTATCAGAGTAGTATCAGAGTAGTAACAGAGTAGTATCAGAGTAGTATCAGAGTAGTATCAGAGTAGTAACAGAGTAGTATCAGAGTAGTAACAGAGTAGTAACAGAGTAGTATCAGAGTAGTATCAGAGTAGTATCAGAGTAGTATCAGAGTAGTATCAGAGTAGTAACAGAGTAGTATCAGAGTAGTATCAGAGTAGTAACAGAGTAGTAACAGAGTAGTATCAGAGTAGTATCAGAGTAGTATCAGAGTAGTATCAGAGTAGTAACAGAGTAGTAACAGTAGTATCAGAGTAGTATCAGAGTAGTATCAGAGTAGTATCAGAGTAGTATCAGAGTAGTATCAGAGTAGTAACAGAGTAGTATCAGAGTAGTATCAGAGTAGTATCAGAGTAGTAACAGAGTAGTATCAGAGTAGTATCAGAGTAGTAACAGTGTAAGGAAGCGTACAGAGGAGCCTTGAGTGACACATATCAATGTTGACTTCATCTGTAATATCCAGAGTAGATATGTCTTTGTTTACTCTGGTGTATATAATGTTCATGATTTCGTCATTCGGGACAGACGGTCTCAGACGGTGCTGCCCGGTGGTATCGGTATCGGTTCTGTTATTCATTGTATATGTCACATTTACTAATGAATAAACTCACACTTTGATTGTTTTACTCTTGGTTGTTTACTTTATTTTTGCTCTCGGTCTGTACAGAATTTCCACAACACATGGTTTACACCAGTGGTTCCAACCCCCGGTTAGTGGACGGCTACTGGACCATGGTCCGCACACAACCTTAAAACACATTCTTCCCTCTTCCTCCTTCTTTCTTCTCTGCACTTTCCAACACATTCAGAACCTTACAACACATTCTTCTTTCTTCATCTTCTTCCTCCTTCTTCATCTTCATCTTCTTCTCCATCTTCTTTTCCATCTTCTTCTTCATCTTCTTCCTCCTTCTTCATCTTCTTCTTCTTCCTCCTTCTTAATCTTCTTCTTCCTCCTTCTTCATCTTCTTCCTTCGTCTTCATCTTCTTCTCCATCTTCTTCTTCAGCTCCTTCTTCATCTTCTTCCCCTTCTTCCTCTTCTTCCCCTACTTCTTCCTCTTCTTCTTACAACACATTCAACACCTTACAACACATTCTGCACTTTACAACACATTCTTCATCTTCTTCACCTCTTTCTTCACCTTCTTCCTCTTCTTCACCTTCTTCATCAACTTTCTTCTTCCACTTCCTCCTTCTTCCTCCTCCTTCCTCTTCATCTTCTTCACCTTCATCATCTTCCTTCTTTCTTCTTCCTCCTCCTTCTCCTTCTTCCCCATCTTCTTTCTTCTTCCTTCATCTTCCTCCTCTTCTTCCTCTTCCCTTCCAACATCTATGCAGCCACTCACAATGGCTTCAACCATTGTACCATTTCTAGTTCATGGATAATATTTGTAATGAAAAAACTTTTTATTTATTTACATTATTGAATCAGATCAACCCAACGACAACCCGCTGATGGAGTTGGATGAGGCTGGTGAGTGTTTATTGCTTTTGATAGTAGTACTACTACTACTACTACTATTACTACTGAGTAATGGAAATTCATATATGCATATTGAATCAGATCCTGAGCCCCTGGTGGGAGGTGAGGGGATGGAGGAGGAGGAGGATCAGGCCATCGCCGGCCCTTCCCTCTCTGGTGAGTATTTATTGCTCTTGATAGTTACTACTCCTCATACTGTCCTCATAAGAAGACAGGTAAAGCTTTTCTTCTGTTGTGATTCAGGGCTATACAAGAATAAATTGTATTGTATTGTTTTGTACCACTGCTACTAGTGCTATTACTACTACTTCTACTGCTTCTGCTGCTACTACTACTACTACTACTACTACTACTACTACTACTACTACTACTACTACTACTACTACTACTACTACTACTACTATTCCTACTGAGTAACACCTACCAATGTTATTGCGTAGGGTTATTGAAATGTTGAATCATGGAGTACATTATTTTTAATAAAGGGACTTCATACCACATGGACCAGGAGAGGCCGGGTCCATCTGTCAGTTTGGAGGCATTCCAGAGGCTGGAGGCCCGCCTCACCAGTCTGGAGCGCTCCCACGCCCTTCTTTTAAAGAAGTGGCGGTCCCTCCAGGCTGCCCCGGCTCCCGTGGCCCCCACGTCCGCTCAGAAGGGGGAGCACGTGGGCAAGCTACAGAACGCGGACTTTCTGTATGGTAAGTTGGTTACTAATAGTTTTGGACCATGGAGGGAAATATTCAAATATTGTCATCCTTTTTTCTAAAAGTCAATTTGATTTTATTGCAGAATCCCTCGTGGAGGACTATAGACTGTTCCGGCTCGGGGCGCGGACCAGGACGAAGGACATTGACAACGCGAAGCAGTCAGCCAGCCACTCCCTGAGGTTCTGCCGGTACATGGCCCAGGGAGTGGCGGCTGACTGCCTGACCAGGAGCGTCAGGTTCCTCAACCGGCTGGACCACCTGCGTGGGTGAGTATTAGTCTGCTATCTTTGGATGAAGAATTAGGTAACTCTGCATCTTGTTTAATATCACTAAAATTGGTCCAAGAAAATTTGCCATTTAGTTAGGATTTTCTTGTGAAAGTGAATAGTGATAGATTTAAAAATTCTGGAAGATTTATATGTGGTAACCTGTCTGTTTTTTACACAGATACCCGACGTACCTGGTCAACAAGGGGTACAAGAGTACCACAATCAAAAATATGATTACCAATGTAATCATGTTCCTGCGCCATGTGAGCAAGCGCTTCCCGCGCCAGACCCGCCTGAGGCCCGCTGAAGCCTCTAACATCGAATATGAGCTTCAGCGGATCCAGCGGGACATCCAGCGGGAAGTGCTTGTTCACAGGCAAAAGGTCCTCAAGAAAAAGTCAGGTAAGGCTTTTCCTGTCTTATATGGGTAACACCACTGCTACTACTACTACTACTACTAAATTATTGACCAGTCCGAAATGGTGAAATGTCACAACAGGTCCAAATAGGGATGTGGTTTTCACTAGTGTTACGCCAGTTCCATTCTTTTCACAGCCGACCAGCTGGACGCCATGGACAGCGTCCGTTTTTTGGCAAGGGCCAAAACTGCCATTGACGAAATTCTCTGTAAGTAGAGTACATTTGTGATTGTTTTTCAGTTTCATTCCAAGAAATTAATGCCTCGTGTTGTTGGGGTGTAGGCCGAAAGGATCCCGATGAGCTCCATGGCCTGGGGATGGGCTACATCCTTGGCTACCTGGCCATTGTCACAGGCCACCGGGCGGTGGTCTTCCACCACACGACGAAGGAGTCGGTACAGGAGGCCGACTCCTGGAAGTCAGGAACCCGCTTCCAAGTGTTGGTCAGTCATACTATGTACCATTCAGAAAGTAATTAGAAAGGTTGTTAATTATATTAGCGAGTTGTGGTTTCTTATCAGGTCCTCATAAAAAGACTTGTACTCACACACAGGTCTCCCTTTTGGCCGAAATTGCCTCTAGAGATCTAAAATTTTGGCAGATTGTAGCCTTGGTCGGTGCGATACCGGGAAAAACAGGGACGAGTTCTATTTCCCACGCTTGGTTTCTTATCCATCAACAGATTTTTGTTTTGTTTTCCCCCAAGGTGGACGACCACAAAACGACCAAAACCTTCGGGCAGGCCTCATTGATTCTTGAACGGCACGAATACAACTGGCTCCGCGTCCTGGCCACCGGGGAGTTCTGTACCGACGAGTGCAGGGAGGTGGAACATTTATTCCACACTACATCTGGAGGCCCGATCAGACAGGGCTCCGGTATAATAAACAGGGCGTGGGCAGCGGCTGGACTGAGGGGGTCGATTAATTTCAATAAGATCCGGAGCAGCGTGGCCACACAGGTAACATCTTGATTCATGCGTGAAATTGACTGCAGAGTTGAATTTTGATGTTTATTCATGTTTTCTGTTTGTAAGGCCAATGACCACCTGACTGAGAAGGAGCGGCGGAGGGTGGCCAGGGCCATGTGCCACGACCCTGCCACGGCCTCCAGGTTTTATGTTGCCCTCCCCAACAGGGAGAGGCAATATCGTGACAGGCAGCTCAGAATGAAGGCCCTCTGTCTGGCCTCTAAGACCAGGCCAGACAGGCTGACCAGGCCAGCCGTGTCCAGCAGCTCAGAGTCAGAGGGACCTGAGCCAGCGTATCAGGACTCGCCCGACTCCTCTGGCTCTGAGCTTGCCAGCCCTGAGCCAGACCCCTCCAGCCCTGAGCCAGACCCCTCCAGCCCTGAGCCCTTCACCCCACCGCCTCAGCCCTCGACCGCCGACCGCCAGCCCTGGACCCCGGTATGGGACTACAGCGAGGGTACAACGGCCCCGAGGAAGCGGCCGCGGATGCTGTTCCCGGCCGACGAGGAGGACGAGGAGCCTCGCGCCCTTCCTCACCCAATGAAGCAGTGCACGGTGGACTGCGACAGGCTGCAGAGTGGGGTGCTCCACTTTTATGCAACAGTCATTCGAGACTACCCTGCTTAAGGACCGACGAGTGTGTGAGGACCTGTATGTGTGAAGACCTGTGTTTGTGTGTGGAACTTTTTGTTTTAAGGACTGTGTGTGTGGACCTGTGTGTATGAAGACCTGTGTGTGTGTGAGGACTTGACTTGTTTTGTATTCCATCTAGTTCTGGTAAATGTTATTGTATTGTTTTATTTGAAAAAAAAAAATACTTCACAAAATGTGAAGAAAAAAAAAAAAAAAAAAACAATACTTCACAAAATGTGAAGTAAAAAAAAAAACTAAAATTAAAAAAAATACTTCACAAAATGTGAAGTAAAAAAAAAAAAATAAACTAAAAAAAACATTACCTCCACTAGAGACTCTGCCTTGACGTGGCGTGGAGGCTTAAGTGACGAATTGAGTCACAACCAAAGAGTCTCACAACTTCCATGCCTGTTTTTCCATTCTAGTTTATCTGCATGTCCTACCATGAATGGTTGGTGGTGGTCGGAGGGGCCATATGCATATGGCTGTTGCTGTAAGTTACCAGCAATGCATTGCAAGGTAAGTTGGAGTATCAAGGGTTGTTGTAATCTCTACTCCCACTGGTCCATATTGCTGTTTTTCCATGTGCACCGACAGCAGACATCCGTTGTAGTCAGTGGAGACCTGGGCTTGAACCCAACATGTTCATGTCAAAGCCTCACAGGCCCAGGTCCTCACACACACTAACCCAACCTCACAGGCCCAGGTCCTCACAAGCAATTGCCCTCAAAACACAGGTTCCCAAACACACATGCACTCATCACACAAACACAGATCCTCACAAACACATATACACAGGTCCTCATAAACACATGTCCTCACACACACAGGGTGACTTTGTCCCAGGCAAACTAATGGACACATTCACGTCTGTATGTTTCCCTCCCTTTTGGACAAAAATGCAGCTAGAGCTCCACAATTCCCTCAATATGGATCCGAAAAAATGTGGAAGTTGACTTCCAACTTCCAGATTTTCATCTATTACTGTGTAAAGGTCCTGATAAACACACTACTCACACACAGGTCTCCTCACATTCATGGAACTTGAGTGAGAAGGTGCTTGACATGCAACTAGAACAGGTATGTCTAATATTTATTATTACACAATTTATTGTATTTTCAATACAAGTGACAGTGCAAATAAACTGTTTCCTTAGAGCAATGAGGCAGGAGGAAAAAGTCTTGAAGTGAACTACATTGTCACAGACCGTCACTCACAACTGTACTGAGGATCCAAGCAAATGGTTTCTGCCACGTTTGGAAACGCATAATAGAACTTTGAGGCCAGAGTTGTGTGTTCATGTTTCCAACACATTGTTTTTTTACTCAGGGTCTGCCCCATTGTTCAAATAAAAGATACTTATGAACAAGTGATTACTGGAAGGTGTGAAGAAACTCTGCTCTGAGCAGACATCACTGGAGGTGTTTCACGGCGTTATTCTTGATAACTTATCTAAGTTTGCACAGTAGATCACCTTTTGAGTCAAACAATAAAAAATAAACATCTCAATAATGGCCTTTCTATGGAAGCCCGTTTCCTCCATGTAAAAAAAAAAAAAAAAAAAGCTTACAGAAAGTCAAAATTACGACTTTAAAAGTCAAAATTTTGACTTTAAAAGTCAAAATTTTGACTTTAAAAGTCAAAATTACTGCGCATGTGCAGTTGAAAACTCGTATGTGTTGTTGTCTGGAACGGTCTCTGGTCATCCCTGTTATAGATCCATGACCATGGGTCATCCCTGTTATAGATCCATGACCATGGGTCATCCTCTACCTGCAGATTATGTGAAGATATTTCCTACAGACAGTGACCACATCCATGAAGTAGCAGCAATAATGTTGGGGCAGTAATCGCGTTAAAATGCAAACGGTCTCTCCGTTTATGATTAGAATCCGCTTCAGAAGCCTCTATTTAGTTTATCCTAAACGGACTGTGGAAGATTAATAATAAAACACATGCGGCTGTTCAAAGTCATTGAGCATCAACTGGTGACGTCTGGTCAGTATCACGGCTATCAATGGATGCACCAGAAATGCACTGAATGATATTGTGACTGACAGAGAGACCGTTCACAATTACAGGACAGTGAGAGAGGTCCGCAGACAGAGGCAGGAGAACCACAGACAGAGGCAGGAGAACCACAGACAGAGGCAGGTGAACCACAGACAGAGGCAGGTGAACCACAGACAGAGGCAGGTGAACCACAGACAGAGGCAGGTGAACCACAGACAGAGGCAGGAGAACCACAGTCACGGGCACTGACAATATTACCCTTTTGGAATTGCGATCAGTGTATTGAAGAGTATGTGACGTGTTTGCGTGCACGCGGGGGTGAGCTGATGGAGCGTGTGGTAAAGTTGTTGGCGTATGAGCAAGAACACAGAGACATACAGGGAATAAGTACTTTGTCTGATTATTTTATTGTGACAAAATAAAGCCCACGACTCTTTTAGCAACAATCCGGAGAAATAACTCCGCAGATAACAGTGAGGGTCTTTGAAAAGGGACTTAAACCCATTATAGATTCATGAATAAAACCCTGTACTCAACACGTTGAAAGCACATCCTTTCAGCCGTGGAAAGACTCGCTCCGTGTGGACCCCTCTCAGCGCCATCGTCTGGTCAGAGTGGGGTATAGCAGATTGGAATGTCTCGATGGCTCATTTTCCTTTGATTTATTATAAAAATATATTGCTCACATTATTTGTTACTATGTCGAAATAAGAAGTAGTTTGATTTAAATGTTGTATATATGTAAATTGAATTTAACATAAATAAATAAAAAGACAGCTCCCCCTGCGTCCTACGACCGCGGTCTGGGGCTTAAACAGGAAAGTTTTACAGAATCAATCAAACAACATTATTTTTGGCTTCTTCATGGATGCAGTGGTCACTGTCGGCAATATCTTCATAATCTGCAGGTGAAGGACGTCCAGAGACCGTTCCAGACATCAACACATACGAGTTTTCAACTGCACATGCGCAGTTGAAAACTCGTAATTTTGACTTTTAAAGTCGAAATTTTGACTTTTAAGGTCGACATTTTGACTTTTAAGGTCGACATTTTGACTTTTAAGGTCGACATTTTGACTTTTAAGGTCGACATTTTGACTTTTAAAGTCGTAATTTTGACTTTTAAACTCAAAATTTTGACTTTCTGTATGCTTTTTTTTTTTTTTTTACATGGCGGAAACGGGCTTCCATACCTTTCTAAGTTCTCACATGAAAACTATTTTAACCCTTTAATGATTTCCTCAACCATTTGGTAGATCACCTTTTGAGTCAAACAATAAAACATTTTGTGCCTGTTAATGTATGTTCATGTAAGTTATGTTTTAGTTTTTTTAAGTACAGTTGAGTACATCTGTGATGGGATTGAGACACTTTCCATTAAGTCCCACTGCTGACAGTTTGGCCCAGTTCAGAGGAGCATTCTGGATGACGGCTGTAACAATAAGGTGAGGTGTCTGTGACCGACGCAGCAGAAGCCAGAACACTCCAAACTCAACATTCAGTTTGCATTGCACATACATTAAACTTAATTGTTAAGAAATCCTGTGATCAAATCCCTGAACTTTCAGCCATCTGACACAAATCTAGGCAAACTGTAACATATTTCAGATCCAGCACCACAGCCGAAGAAAAGCTTGCTCAAGTACAACAGCAGATGGGACGGCCAGCCCTGGAACTTATGAACGAGATACCAACACGCTGGAGCAGCTGCTGTCACGGCTGATGACGAAGAACCAGTGTGGGCGTCTCGGCCTCTCTTCACAGACTGACTCCTCTCAGGACTGATGAGTACAACATCCTAAAGGAGACACTTCTCGTGCTAGCTCCTTTCCATCAGGCCACAGTGGAGTTGTCTGAGGAGAAGATAGTTTCAGGCTCAAAGTTCGTCCCGAGGATGAAAATGCTACTGTGCACTGGAGCGTCATTCTACACATTTACACAAACAGCCAGAAATCTCCATCAACAACTTAAGCGTCGTGTCGAAGAAACTTCATCTCAACTGGAGACATTCAGTGTGTGACCCTCTCCACACTGCTGGATTTAAATCACTCGGGTTTCGCAGTTCCTCCAACTGTAATGAGGCAATAACGCGACTGAAAAGTGAGTATGTGGCAGTAATTTCTTGAACATCTGAGCAACAGCCTGGACCTCATCAGAGTCACCAACTTCAGCCACATCTCACTTGTGCTTTGATCTTGTTATGTACCAGATGATAAAGACTGACTTTCCATTGTCTTTATTTATTTCAGACAACTTGTGGCCGGATCTTGATGTGGAGGTTGGCAGACAGATGACAAACGTGACAGCGGACTCCATCATTGAGGTCCAGAGGAGGAGGAACCATCGCAGGACCAGAGGATCCGTGACCTATTGGGGGAACCGGAGACACACACATCCAAACCTTTTTCAGCTGTCATTGCAATTCTTATGTACCCGGCTTCATCTGTGCCATGTGAGCGTATATTCTCAAAAGCTGGGGAAAGTGTCCAAACAACGAAAGACTCCATAGCAAAACTTTGGACATACTTATTTTTTGAATAAAAAATAATAAAACACAAACACAAATAAATACATTCACAACTATCAGGATCATGCTGCGTCGACTTTCTAAGTCAATGGTGACGCACGAACGAGCGCGGGACTGCATGTGCGACTCGGGATGAGTGCACGGACTGCGCCCTGGAGACGCAGGAGCGTAAATTGACGCACGCAGAAGAATATTGCTGAACCTTTCCTCGGACGCTCGTGCAGCGACAGTGGAAAAGAGTGTAACAACAGTGCTTTGTTATTAAAAGGTAATACATTAGATAAAGTGTAATAGTATTGGGATATTGATCAGAAGAGTCTGGAGTCGGCTGCTGGAGGATAGGCTCAGTAAATGACATAACAAAAAGGTAAGTTTGAAGTAAAGTGTATTATACAAATAATATGAAAACAATGGACAAATAATTACAGTGAATACAAGAATACCTGTAGCAAC